ATCATCTATTATGCTCCTCTCGCATAACAACTGTTGTATGTCCTAACTCTATGTGCCCAAGTTATTAAGAGAAACCAGGTTAAAGCAGGACATCAGAAGACCAGCACAGCAATGAAAAATGTATTTGCGTTAACTAGGTTTCCCTCAATTCCAATCCTCACTTATATTTTAGAAAGGAAACCTGTTTTATTGATTATTTGGTACGTATACAATACCAATGGTACATACATTAAAGAAATGATAGAGTAGAACAAATAAGTGAATTTGGCACTTGTGTTTTGTTGAGAGCGACTTCCTACTGGCCATGCGGTCCTGTATCTGCAGTGGAAACAGCTGGTCCTTGGATCCCTCATTTGTAGATGTATCCTATTTAGCAGGCTCATGAAAGACCACCGGCAGTACCACCGACTGATTCAGGAGCTGCCGCTATTTGTTGTCTCACCCATTTGTCAGAGGACATAAAGAGAGAACTTTAAACTTCCCCCCACATTGATCCACTGGCTGCCTTTTTTATTGGGCCTTATTTAACAAAGACCGGCGTCCTGCCTCTTCCTGTGTCATTACCTCTGCATGTGGGAACGCATCTGAATTCAGGCGTCCCCCACCCATTTCTTCCACAGTTTTTCCCTTACTATCTGACAGGTTGAGTAGAAATGAAGCTCATCATAGTCCCATGAAAAGATGAATGGTTGAGCACACTGAAATAACCCTTGAATGTTCTAGTGTGGTGACAGTGTTGTTCCTAGCAGGCCAACACATCACCATAAGAAAACCCGAACCAGAGAGGGTAAAACCCCCGGTCCGCGGACCGGTACCGGGCCGCGGAGGTGTTACTGCTGGGCCGCGAAATAGCTGTGAGTTTATCGTAATGTTTGCAGAATTATAAATATATCAAAATATGTTATCATAATAATAATTTTCGCACCTATACCAGTCATATTATTTCATCCAGTAGCCTAGTTCATCTTTCACCAGAAAACCGTTGAAAATGGCTTTTATGATGTTCCGAGGGATTCGGCGGCTCAGCCTGGTCTCAGCCTCTCGTGCGCACGAGAAAGTTACTGGTGCGCCAAGTAGAAAGAGGAGCGCACAGGAGACAACCGTTTAATTGCAGACTGTTATGTTTATGTGGGGAAATGTCTAAAATCTACATTATTTGAGATATATTTCAAACTCGGACTTCATTTTAAGGACATGTCGGCCAGGGGTGTAGAGCTATTTGTTGGCAAAACAGGAGAGTAAACCAGTCTGCCTTGATCTATGAATTCATGTCCGGGACTCTCGCGGTATCTGCTGCCTGCAGCCGTTTTATAGAAGGAAAACCTCCTTCACTTCATGAAATGGCTGCAGAATCAGGAGGCAGCGGGACGTAGACTCCGCCTCTGAGAAGTGCAGCACCAGCCAGCGGGTAAAGATGTGCCTTTTTACGCACCGCCTTCACTGTGTTTACCTTCATCAGAACAGCGAGTGACTGCAGGCTACGTGTTAACCACACACACCCCTACACACATCTCTACACACATCGAACTGCCCGATTACTCCCCCTTTTATTAGTTTTATGAAGGAGATGTCCAGTCACCAAGGTGCATGATGTGTGTGTGTATGTGCTCTGCTCTGCTCAGCTCTGTGTGTTCGGTGAGTCTGTCCGACACCGGCATATGTTTTCAAATGACCATGAACAGTAATTTACACACATCTGGCTAACTCCATAGGTATGTGCGGGTGTTCCCATAAGAAGTTAGTTTAATCTTAATCTCGATGTTGTGCTAAATGCTGTCGGAGTGCACCGGAACGAACAACACCATCATAATATCTTCTGAAAACAAATGCCAGTGACACACACACACACACACCCTGGCGACCGGACATCTCCTTCATAATGCGCCTTCTCCTCGTTTTCCCAGCATTCACTGGATTATCCGTAAATAATACAAACAAAACCAAAACGTTGATTTATCTGTTTTCCCGTTTTGGTTTAAAAACTGAATAACGTCGGTTTTTTGGTTTTCCGTTTTTCCAAAAAACGACTGTTTTTTAAAAAAAAACGTTGTTCATATGTTTTGGATGGATATTGTTCTAGTATTTGTTCAGGCTGTTGCATACAATTAGCCTCTGTTGCTACCTGCTGGTGGTGAGTAAATATTAAAATCAGTTAAAATTGACAACCGGTCCGCAATTTTTTTTTATGGATCTGCCGGTCCTTGGCTCAATAAAGGTTGGGAACCACTGATCTAGACTACTTCAGAAAGACAATGATGCTTCAAAAGTGTGTTTCTGTTTCCAAAACAAAAAGAGGATAGCACATATTTTTACCGTTTGACCCTTTAAACACTACACATCTCAATGTGAGAGGCAACATCCTGAATCTACTGGTTCAACATATCATTTTAATTGATCATAATGCTATTGGATAACATTAAAAACAACATCAATGTTAACAGGGATTGTAATCAATCCGATACAGATAACAGACCATGTAAAAGTTGTGGTGCAATATTCAAAGCTTAATTTCCAATACAAAATTGTAGGCAAACATTACTGTGAGAATATTTGTTAGGACAGAGCTACGACACTGTAGCTTTAACATGTGAAGTGACACGGTGTACATAATCACTATCTCTCAAAGACATTATTTACATAAATCACAACACTGCTCACACTACACAGTTCCTCTGTAACATGATCATTACCGTATCCATCATGCATCAAGTGTTTTGATCTGGGGAACAATAATATACCAAACAAGCTGCTACTTATTATAAACTGCCTGCACCATGACCTTTACCGAGTTTCATTAACCATGAGGTGATCCTAAGACTTTGAGGAGATATAATCAATGTTACAATGCATTACGTATGTTAAGAATTCATCTATTCTGCACTGAGACTGCAGAGATGAAAGAGCCATTTCATATTCACGTTGGCACTGTATATAGTTCAATAGGAACACAGTAGGACCCAGTCTGATTACAATGACCTAGTTTAGTTATTAAAGCCCGACTTACTTATGCAGCCCACATAGAAAACGAGTAAGCACTCGCAGAGCGTGTACCTGCACACCGGCTGATCATTTAACAACAGGAAATGTTTTTAATTTTTGAAACTGCATGTGGTTCTGCACCTTAATGTGACGGTTCATTACCAATACACAGTTAACACTTATTTAAATTGAAACCACATGAGAAGACACTGTTATTCAGGTGTTTCTATAGGTGTTGTTATGGTTGTGAACCTACTCGTTAAACCCTAACAATGCTTATTACGTACCCATATCTCTTATAGAAATGAAGGCAAAAAACGAAATATTACCTTCTAAAATGTGCTGGAGTAGAAGTATAAAGTTAGGTAACATTGGCATCTCATTTTACTTGAGTCCGGTACATTTCTTTAGTAAATCTACTCTCCATTAGTATTTATTGACAACCTAACAGACAGTCACAGAATCAGACAAAGCTTCTATCCCAGACGCGGGCTTGTACTTCAAAAGCATGCCAATTACAGAAGGAAGGGATCTTCACAGAAGTATCAAGGATAGGAGGGGGAGGGGTGGTAAAACTAGTTGGCAACCCAGGGCAAACTTCAGCAGTGTCTCCCTCTCTCAACATCACTTCCCTTTCATCTGTGGTTTGATCACACTACATACACAAAAGCATTCACACATGCTGCCACCAACTCTAAGAAAAACCTTGAGATATAGTGAAACATAAATACTGTAATAAATAGTAGAATCTGGTTCTATGAAGCTCTGTACGTGCAAAAGCATTGCACATAAACTTTCTGTCAGTGCAGTTAAGATCCGGTTTCGTGTCATGCTGCAGTCTGCAGGCTCAGTTTCCCCTCTCTATGTGTGTGTGTGTGTGTGTGTGTGTGTGTGTGTGATGTGTGTGTGGTGTGTGTGTGTGTGTGTGTGTGTGTGTGTGTGTGTGTGTGTGTGGTGTGTGTGTGTGTGTGTGTGTGGTGTGTGTGTGTGTGTGTGTGTGTGTGTGTGTGTGTGTGTGTGTGTGTGTGTGTGTGTGTGTGTGTGTGTGTGTGTGTGTGTGTGTGTGTGTGTGTGTGTGTGTGTGTGTGTGTGTGTGTGTGTGGTGTGTGTGTGTGTGTTGTGTGTGTGTGTGTGTGTGTGTGTGTGTGTGTGGTGTGTGTGTGTGTGTGTGTGTGTGTGTGGTGTGTGTGTGTGTGTGTGTGAATAAATTTGATGCAAGCTATAGTGTAAGCTTCAGTAACAGCCCAGCCTTTTTAGGAGTTTGCTATGCAGGAGAATGTCAACTATCATTCCCTGTGCATACAAATATTTACTTTACTATGCAGGTGTTTTGTGAATATAATCCTTAATAGCTCACAGGGGAAAACCATGAATTACACATAAAATTAGGGCTGCTCGATTATGGCAAAATCATAATCTGGATTATGTGGGTCAATCATTGTAATTGTGATTATTCATTGACTTTGAAAACATCCATTTATTGAAGAAAAAAAATGTGAACAGTATGTTTTTCACAGTTGATTACCCTGAACTTTAAGTATAATTCAACTGGAAAAAAAAAGTAATAATAAAAAAATAATCGTTTTATTTCGATTACGTTGTTTTCGTAATCGTTGCAATCCATAATCGTGATTAAAATACGATTAATTGAGCGGCCCTACATAAAATACTGTTCAAGACTTCAGGATTCAGATGGACTCTACATCAAACCGTATGGGGGTGGATTCGGTTTTCTTGAGATAATTAGAAGGTCCTTTTTTAACAAGCACGCACAGCGTAATGGATTCTGTTGCCTTCTCTGTGACGGATGATGTTTTTGTTTACTGCTGGACCTTTTTTCTTCCTTCCAGTTTGCTGCATAAAAAGGCAAGGGGTGACTTTGCATGAGGACATTCAAATAATACAATTATATATTCTACTTACCCGACACTTCTCTTTCCATTTCTCTGTCTGAGAAAGACACAGTGACTGAACTATATTGATGTGTTTTTTAATGGCAGTCCCTTCTCTCTGTTTTTCAGACTGCCAACGGCTACATCCTCCTGTTTGATGTGCTGGGTGGGGGGGACGACAAGTACCTCTATGAGCCTGTCTATCCAAAGTGAGTGCAGCACACACACACGATGACACACACACGCTTTAGCAAAGTGAACAGAGTGTACCAGGCTGTATCTTGCAGTGAGGATACACCAACAACAAATCATCTGTCCCTTAAGGAGCTATTTAACCGTCATGAATAATGCATGTTATGTAAGTCTTGAATTGTACATGAACTGCCTAGAGTGAACGTGTAAATACACAATTATGCCTACACAAAACTCACTTTATCCATGCACTTTGAATTGATCAGTTGAAACACTTGCTAGTATTACCGCAAGTGAACAACTTTATAATGAGATTGCTGGTTATAATTCACCACTACATTGATTTATGAACACTAATCGTCAAATGCTTCTCCTTTTCGATATGCTTGCTGCAGCTCGTGTCCTCAGCTGGCAGCTGTCTGTCAGCGCGACTGGTTAACAATGCCAGCATGAATAAAGGAGGGCTTTTCTACTAAATCCTCTTACATAAGGTTGTCATTTAGCTCTTGACCAGATACTGGATGTAATAAACAGGTTGCTCTGTGATATGCTTGAGAAAAGCTTCAGCTATCACTGTTTTTGTTCTAAATCTGACAAATACACTCTATGGCCAAGTATATGAGCAGCCCAATACAGTATATACACCTATAGGTGATAAGTGAACTTCTGATCCGAAAACAAAGCAAGAACAGCGTCCACTCTTCTGGGAAGGCTTTTTAAGTAGACCAAAGTATGTGCCTTGAGGTGCCCCCAAGCTTGTCTCTGTTCCTTTACTAATCCTGCCGTTTCTGTGCTTTGTATCAAGTGTCCATGTCTATTGTGTATGTGGTGTTGTGTAGCCAGAGTGTGTGTGTGTGTCTTTCACATTCCTTGACAGCATACCAGCAGAGGTCAGGCAAGTCGGGACGTATTCTGTGATCCTTTCCAGCTCCTGTTCACCCTCAAGTTCTCCTCCTAAATCATTCCAATGATTCTGTGTATTATTATATTGTGTGTTTGCACAGAGGGAGTCCTCGTGTGAAGGTGACTCCGGGCTATAAGGAGGAACAGTGTGCCCCTGCTTTGTCTCTAGAGATGAAGAAGCCTGTGGATCTGGAGGCCCCCATCACCAGGTATGATAACATCTTATCTCCTCTCGTTCTCTGTTTTTATCTCCCTCTTGGTTTTCTCTGTTGTGTCTTCCCTCTGCCTCTTCCCTACATAGACCCCAGCTAAGATTCAAAATCACACCAAAAGATATGATCACGGTTATGTCTTGATGTTTTTTAACCCTCCCCTTGTGCATTGCTTTACAATTTTATATACAGAAAGGTTCCTATCCTTTCAAAAAATATTCTAAAGACGTAAACCACAAACTGGCGAGTTGTCTTCAATTAAAAACGACACAAAAAAAGCATTCTTTTTGATAAGCTCTTGCATTTAGTATCTATTATACATTTCAAAGTGTGTAATTCACTGACACTATGATTTAAACTGCAGTCATGTTATGTTTGCTTATGCAGCTCACCATGGGATATTTAAATAATGTCCTCCATACTTGTAGCTGTTAGAAGTGACCCTCTCTTTGTGCATGGAAAGGGTATTTAGCTCAGAATAAAACTGGGGAAATTCTCTTCTTCCTCTAATGGAAAGTCAACATTGGCAGTGAGAGATGGCTGAGGCTCAGCTCCTTCAGTCAACGGCAGAGAGAGAATTCACAAATCTGCAGAGATGGATGTGTGCGGCGTGATGGACGGATAAAATTAGGCGGGTGGAAGGGTTTAGTGATGATTGATGAAAGGACGACAGAAGCTAACTTTATTTCAGTGCTGGCTGGATGGGATTAAGCGCTGCCTGGAGCGTAAACGGGTTTAAATCAGCCTCATCCGTTTTCTCGACTGTATTTATTCAGCTTATAAACAAGGCATTTTAGGAAATTCACTTAAGTGAGATTGATTACCTGTTAAGCTGCTTATTACATATTCAGAAGGAGACGTTTCTATTTCGTCTCGTCAGCTACATAACATTATTTGGATGAATTTGTTACTTCATTGTTTAAATGGCTTGTCACCATTTTAGATGGCTCAACCTGATTTTTGTAATACTTTAATAATCAGCATTACCTGTATGAAGACAGATCCATTTGTAAGACTTTAGCGATGTTGACACACTGCACAAACCGGCCAGCTGTAAAAAATAAAACATCTTTTTAAAACCACCCTAGATGTGAGATCACAGCATTCATTCAAAAACATTTATCTGAGTAAGTCCTTTCATTTTCATCTAAGCCAATGTTAATGTACGGTCAGTGAGAAGAAAATGACCATGAGAAGATTTAGAAGATGGCCCTTTTATTAATCCCAGAGGGCATATATCGTTTTTCACTCTGTTCCCAAATATACAGAGTAGATCTACATACGGATAGGAATACAGATATGCACATCCCATGCAGTTTTATGGAGAGGTGCCAGAGTAAGAGGCTGCCAGGTTTTCCTGTGCTAAGGAGTTGTTTGGGTTCAATCCCTTGCTCAAGGACTCCTCTGCAGTTCCCAGGAGAGGAACTGGCACCTCTCCAGCTCCACTGTTATCTTTGTGGTGCGATTGTCCCTCATCTCAGATAAGATCTAGTGTCTCCTTCCTTCTTGTTTTCTCCTTTTTGTGCTTCTTTCTTCCTTTTAGTTTTTCACCTTTTACTCTCGTCATCCCCCAACTTGACGTCTTTGTTTGTCGAGTGACTGGAACGGCTCTGCTCTTTTGTCACGATTTGTGTTTGTCTTGTGGTTATACCGCCTGCGTCTTTCAATGCCTTGTGTTCATCTGTCACATCTCCACTGTGTGCACTTGACAGAGATTACAGAGTAGTCGTGTGAATGAGAGAACTCCTGTCAGCATTTCAAAGGCACAGCTTGACGAGTGGGTATCTCCTGCTGTTACACTACAGAACAAGTTGTTGCTTCTTCCACAGTTAAAGCCAACTTCGCTTGACATTCTCAATTGTATTTCTTTCTTGCTTGCTTTTCTCCTCTTAGTTGTCCCATCCTCATCTTCAGTCTTAGACCTGTTATGGATGTGGGAACATAATGAAGGTCTTTACTCACAAGCACACTGTTTGTTTGTTCCCTTGTGTATATAGAGGACAGTGAGAGTTGGCACGGGCAGCTGTGTGGCCTCATCACAGCTGCCCAGTGAACGTTTCAGACTCCACTCAGCTGGATGCTGACTACTCCTCTGTTTTCTAACACTGCTGTTTATCATCTCATGCCCACTTCCTACCTACCACCCCTGCCTGCTTTCTTTCACTTCCTCCTCCACACTTTCTGTCTTAGCTTTTGAACCCCAATGCTCATTTCTGTGTTTCTTCTTCTTCCTCCTCCTCCTCCTCCTCCCACCAGTCTGCAGTCCCTCCAGGAGGACTTGCTGGTGTGCACTGCAGACGGATACCTGCATGTGCTGCACTGGGATGGGCTCGGCAGCAACGGACGCAAAGCCATCTGCCTCACTACAATCCCCTTCTCACTAGACCTGCAGTCTGCTCGAGGTTAGAGGAGACCCAAACACATAGCTGAACATAAGCGAAGAGAGCACACATTATTCTAGTTGACAGTAAATGTCCTGATGTCTAATGCTACGACATCAAATCTCAATACAAAGTGGACTTTTTGAATATACACAGACATGTTTTGGCTACTTCAGCTCCTGTTTCAGTCCTTTTGTATGGTATAATACTTCCACCCCTGTGTGTGTGTTCAGGTGGTCCCTCTCCTGACCTGGAGGGAGTGTATATCCGTTGTATGGAGTATTGTGTGACGCTGGACGGCTTCGCTGTGGTGCTGAGTGACGGACGCCTGGGCTTCATCACGCCGCTCACCAACACCATCACCGCAGATGTAAGAATACTCACAGATTAAAACGAGCACACAGTTTACTGAAGGGCAAACATCCACACATAGATTATGAACAATATAATAGTTACTCATTTAAAGGCTGGAGAAAGTCTCTGATTCCCCTTTTTAAGACGTCTGTGACATCAACTGACCCCATGACCCCATATTGTCATACTGATATTCTGTACACACTGTGAAGACCACTGAGACAAATGTAACATTTGTGATATTGGGCTATATAAATAAACATTGATTGATTGATTGATTGATTGATTGATTGACAGCGGAACTGACACCAAACTATCAGGAAATGAAATGTTAACCAGGCCTTTGTCCCACTTTTGAGTGGCTAAGGGCATTTATAAACAGCCATATGATGTGATATTCATGTGAGGGCATCATTTAAGGAACATATACAATTATCATTATTACATACATAGAGGCAAAGTGTAAGATAAGGGAGCTTTTGAGAAGCGACACAGAGACGATCATCTGTAGCAATGATGCAACATGTTCTGGTCAACAAGTTTTTGTGGTTTCATAAATAGCGCTGGCAGTGGCAGCTCAATTTCTTTAATTAATATCATGATACGATGATTCATTACAGGCCTCGCGGCTATTACTTTATCTTGGCAGCATTTAAAAGGCGATTACATTATCTTGAAATTGGAAAGTGGTTCTTCAAGATGAGTCCAGTATTTGACTAAAATCGGGACCAAGCAGTCTGTTGTAGAGTCTCATTTAGACTTCTCAGTACATTACATTACATGTAAAGAATCAAGCAGTTTAAACACATGTTGCTGACCTGCGACCGACTTCACACACACATTTGTTATTCAAACATGTTTGGCATGTGTGTGTCCAGCAGCTGCAGGGCGTCTGGGCAGCAGATGTGACTGACGGTACCTGCGTGGCTGTCAACAACAAGTACAGACTGATGGCCTTTGGCTGTGCCAGGTACGTGTCTCTCGGTCTGAATATTTACAAAAAAGTGAAATCCTGTATCTGTTTGTTTGCACCCTTGTGTTCCAGAGGTACATTGTTGTCCTTGTGGTGTGTGTCCAGTGTGAGAATCTGTCCGTTTGTGTTTGCAGAGGCTTACCTAGTGTGTGCTTGTTAGAAACTCCTAATGGATTGTGCAATCTGTCAGGTTGGCAGGAATTCCTCATCTCTCCCTCCTCTACTTCTCAATCTCAGTCTGAAAGTTGTCTGGGTTTTGTACCTCATTGACGCACATGCAGTAGTCTTTTTCTTTATGTCATATTTGCCCTAACGAGGAGATAAAGTAGAGGATGAAATCAGTCATGCTGTAGAAGAGGAACATATTTTCAGTCTTTAAAACAATTTGGGATTTTGCACCCTTTGAAGACGCCCTTTTAGATCAAAGTGCTTAATACTCTGATGTGATTTTCACCTGCTATGAATGAGCAGGAGGTAACATGTTAGCAGCAATTGAAGAAACTAGATGAAAGCCTCTATGATTAATCATTTGCACACACACAACTCAAATAATGACCTTGATCGTGTTTTTGAGTTAGAGGTACATGCTTGTATGTGCAGTCAACGAGAGGTGTAGCTTGGAGGTGCAGCTCTAAATTACAGCCCCAGGTCACTGGCAGTGAAGCAGCCTACTGACCTGTAGCTGTTTGTTCATGTTGTATCACTGCACAGCTTTTACTCCCTGACGCAACTTGTTTCCATCACAGCGGCTCAGTGCTGGTGTACATGATAGACACCGCGACAGGATCAATGCAGCTCTCACACAAACTGGAGCTCACCCCCAAACACTACCCAGGTATCACAACACATCTCTCTCTTTCCCTCTCCTCTCTGGTTGTCCCTCTCCTCTCTGGTCACAGATCCGCTCAGATTCCTCTGTGAGATCATTTGCATTCCTTCAGTTTCCTTTGTCTTGGGTTCACAGGCCTGTTATTCCCCTCAGGTCACATCTGTTTTAGTCCTGTAATAGGATCTAAAGCCATGGCTCCCCCTAGTGGTGGAACAGCCATCATAGGGCCAACACTATTCTAACAATGAACCTAATTCCTTTATCCATTACTCGCAGGTCTTAAATACCATATTAAATTAAGTTTCCTCAAGAAAATGGCATGAGAAGGTATTAAAATGTCTTAAATCTAATTAAGGAATAGTGTAAATACTTTATATTGCCTGCTAGGCAGTGATTGGCCGGTATGAAATGTTATTGTATCTGAAAATGGGCCGTCTGAAGACGTCACCCATTTGTGGAACTGAGGCAGCACCATTAGACCTATGATAAGTTCTGTCACTTCTTCTAGCTGCGTTTGTGCATCAAATTGTCTTCTATTCAGAAAGTCATTCTCTAGCAAGTCTTGATACATGTGGAGATTTTGTAGTGAGCATATGGAAGGAAGGAAGGAACATAAAGTGAATTTCAAAACACTAATCAACTACTGCCAGTTTTAAACTAGAACTATATCATTCTGTAATATCAAAGTCATTCAGAAGTGTTGCCTCTGGGACAAACTGGAATGTGTGTGAGAAAAGATTCTTTAACAAACTCTGCCAGGTTAGCCTGTTAATAATAATAATAATAATAATAATAATAATAAAGTAATACATAAATAATAAATCACCATATAATGTGATTCAGTGTGAAATGTGAGAGAATACATCAATAAATCAATTGCCCCTTTGTAAAAGCATGTACTCCATTTAAAATATAAAACTATAACTAAAGCTTTTTTACTTTTATGTGTTCTTTCCCTGTTCAGACATTTATAACAAGACGGGTGCAGTCAAGCTGATCTGCTGGTCACCTGACTACAGTGTTACCATGGTTACATGGGAGTGTGGCGGCCTATCGCTGTGGAGTGTCTTCGGAGCTCACCTCATCTGCACTCTGGGCGAGGACTTTGCGTAGGTGGACACACACACATACACACTTCATGAAATGCAAATTCCATTCAACATCTTTTGAATGTGCCCTCTCCTCAGGTATCGTTCTGATGGTACCAAGAAGGAACCAATTAAAATCAGCTCTATGGCAAGTGGATTATTTAATACTGTCCCACCCACCTATTACCATTAAAGGGACTTTCGAATTTAAAATGGTTAATATTTTAAGAAATATAATAAGAGAGTTGAAGTTACATAAATCAATAAAATGTTTAAAATTATATAAACAATGGCTACAAACGAGTCGTATGAGTACAGGTGTCATGTTTCTAAATACTATCCACTTCATCCTGCTTTTTCTTTATTAAATGTTTTATTGGATGTATTTAAATACATTCTCTACTCATATATAATTTACCTTTGACATGTTAATGTTTTTTGTTATCATTTTGCATAATGACTTGCACTCTTCCCCCTCCAGAGCTGGGGAGCGGAGGGCTACCACCTTTGGGTGATCCCTATCAAGCAGGAGAAGAAGAAGAAGCAGGAGGAGCAGGAGGTGGAGGAGATGGAGACCCCCCCTCACCCCACCCTGCAGGCCGGCATACTGCAGTTCCACTTCATCAAAAGTGCCCTCACAGTCAACCCGTGCACGGTGAGAGGAAAATACATTGTCATATTTGTACACACATACGCACACTTCAAATACTAATGCTTTCTTTGCTCCTCTCGGCCATATAGAGTAACCAGGAGCAGGTGTTGCTGCACGGGGAGGACCGCCTCTACCTGACCTGTGGTGACCCGTCGCAGGTCAACAACCCCTCTGACACACACCCACACACACACGTACACCCGCACGACGGCAGCCCGCTGCACCACCCCCCAACCCAGACTCCTCTCTCTCTCAGGGACTCAGCACTTTACTGGGACACAAGCACTGGCACGTGGTCCAGGTAAGGATCATCACACCTGCTTTTGGGAGATTTATTTCACAGGGTCAGAGTTTTGAAATATTTCTTGGGACATATTATATTTGACTGCAGCCTCAGGCCATCCTGTACAATCAGCAACAGAGGCTTTAAGAGTTGTCATCATTATTAGTGGATATGCCCTTTTTTTTTTTTTACAATTGATTCATAATTTTATCATTACAGCAGACAATAAATACCTATCCATTGTGCGACAAAGTACACGTCCCACCGTCCGGGACGTGTTATTTACAATATCGGAGAAGTAGATCTGTCAATTGACTTGTCCGGCGGACAAGTGACGTTTATTGACAAATTATTGATACATTCAGTTTACAAAAGGCAGAACTCATTCCACAGTGGCAAAGCCCCGGGGGTGGATGAGATCTGCCCGGAAATGCTGAAGGCTCTGGGTGTTGAGGGACTGTCATGGTTGACACGTCTCATCAACGTTGCGTGGAAGTCGGAAACAGTACCGAAGGAGTGGCAGACCGGGGTGGTGGTTCCCCTTTTTAAAAAGGGGGATCAGAAGGTGTTTGCCAATCACAGAGGCATCACACTACTCAGCCTCCCCGGGAAAGTTTACTTTAAGGTACTCGAAAGGTGGGTCAGGCCGATTGTCGAACCTCGGATTGAGGAGGAACAATGCAGATTCCGTCCTGGTCGTGGAACGACGGATCAGCTTTTTACTCTCGCAAGGATCCTGGAGGGGGCCTGGGAGTACGCTTATCCGGTCTACATGTGTTTTGTAGACTTGGAGAAGGCGTATGACCGAGTTCCCAGGGAGTTACTGTGGGAGGTGCTGCGGGAGTATGGGGTGAGGGGGTCTCTACTCAGGGCCATCCAATCTCTGTACTCCCAAAGCGAGAGCTGTGTCCGGGTCCTCGGCAGTAAGTCGGACCCATTTCCGGTGAGGGTTGGCCTCCGCCAGGGCTGCGCTTTGTCACCAATCCTGTTTGTAATATACATGGATCGGATTTCGAGGCGTAGTCATGGGGGAGGGGGTCTGCAGTTCGGTGGACTAAGGATTGCACCACTGCTTTTTGCAGATGATGTGGTTCTAATGGCTTCATCGGTCTGCGATCTTCAGCACTCACTGGATCGGTTCGCAACCGAGTGTGAAGCGGCTGAGATGAGGATCAGCACCTCCAAATCTGAGGCCATGGTTCTCAGCAGGAAACCGATGGACTGTCCACTCCAAGTAGGGAATGAGTCCTTACCCCAAGTGAAGGAGTTCAAGTATCTCGGGGTCTTGTTCTTGAGTGAGGGAACAATGGAGCGTGAGATGGGCCGGAGAATCGGAGCAGCGGGAGCGGTACTGCAGTCGCTTTACCGCACCGTTGTGACAAAAAGGTAGCTGAGCCAGAAGGCAAAGCTCTCTGTCTATCGGGCCATTTTCGTTCCTACCCTCACCTATGGTCATGAAGGATGGGTCATGACCGAAAGAACGAGATCGCGGATACAAGCGGCCGAGATGGGTTTTCTCCGCAGGGTGGCTGGTGTCTCCCTTAGGGATAAGGTGAGAAGTTCGGTCATCAGGGAGGGACTCGGAGTTGAGCCGCTCCTCCTTCGCGTCGAAAGGAGCCAGTTGAGGTGGTTCGGGCACCTAGTTAGGATGCCACCTGGGCGCCTCCCTAGGGAGGTGTTCCAGGCACGTCCAGCTGGGAAGAGACCAAGGGGTAGACCTAGGACCAGGTGGAGGGATTATATCTCTTCGCTGGCCTGGGAGCGCCTTGGGATCCCCCAGTCAGAGCTGGTTGATGTCGCCAGGGAAAAGAAAGTTTGGGGCTCTCTGCTGGAACTGCTACCCCCGCGACCCGACCACGGATAAGCGGGAGAAGATGGATGGATGGATGGATGGATGGAGAACTCATTCGCAAATTGTACGTGTCCGCCATTGTTCGTTTAGAAATGTTAGTTTCGGTTCTGCTTGTCGATTCCTAAGGAAATGCATCTCGCCGCTTTCTGTACAGTTAGACGGGGGCGGGGCGGGGCAAAACTCGGTTCCGAGTAGGAACAAATAACAATTGTCCGGTACCGGGATTAATAAGAGTTGTGAGGACAGGAGGCGAGGCCGAGCCCCGCGGACTGCAGCTCTCTCTATGCTCCGTATCAGCTGATCGGTGCAGCTCAGCGTCTCTCTCTCTTTCTACACACAGCGGAATCCGCTGCCTGTTTAACAGCCTCATCTTTGTCAAACTTTCTTATGTTCTTTCTCTAACACGTAATGAAGGTTATTAAGCGTTTTAGCTCCTGTGTTGTTAATATTGACGCCATCTCCTTTATGAAGTGAAGCAGCCTCCCTGTCTGTGTCCTCGCGCTGTCCTCACATCCCCGGACCCCCAGACTCAGAGGAGCACAGGGATGTCAGTATTGTTTATGAAGCAGGGTATAGAAAGTAGCTACATTATTGAAATGACTAAAATACTATTTATATACTTTTACAAACAGTGAGCAGCTGGGCAGCTGCAGCATGTGTATTGCAGGACATGTGTAAGCGTGCAAGCGTCTTTGAGTTGTAGAAAAGCGCTAGGCCTATAGGCTATAAATATAATGTATTATTATTATTAGGTTATGTCCTATGTGTTGGACATGTGTGGTTGGACTCTCACAGGCAGGTTGCAGTGTAACATCAGAGGACACTGGGCCAATTGTACATTCTCAAACTGCACCACCGGAATCGAGAACCGAAAATAACCGGAATCGAAAAGCAGAACCGGAATCGTTAAAATCCAAACGATATCCAACCATATGTGTGATGCAGTAAAATCTTACCGCTCACTTACGTTAGCGGTGTCGTAAAAAACGTGGGAAAATGTAAAATACGATGACGAAGAAGATTCCAGTGGCCCCAATTTTTGTCCATTCTGGACAAGTGATCTCTAAAAACTTTTTCTCACACTGCTATCACAATTTCACAGCTCATAAACCCCAAAGTATTCAATTATATAATGTAGTGCAAGTAAATGCTACATGCTTCTCATATGAAAAGCAGGAATCATCTAATATCGGGCATTCAAGCTAGACTTTTACATGATTTATCAAAATAGTTGTCTGTATATTTCAGTATGACTTGAGTTGCAACCAATGAAAACCATGATGCACTGAGAGCAACTGCATATGCTTGGTAGTTATGTATTCAATAAGGGCAGATTTGCATCTATGTGTATTGTTTAATGCATATAAGATATCATTTGCTATCTTTTATTCATCATTTTTTGTCTTCCTCCAGATTCACAGCACATACCTAGAGAGCAACTGGCCTATAAGGGTAAGTATCCAAATGTGTGTTATGCTTCCTGCTTCATTAGGTCAAGTGTCAGGAAGGTTGTGAATCATACAAAAAGACATATTAAATCATCTTTGAAATGATCCGGTCTGATCTGGTTCCTCTAACATTAGTCACAGTCATAATTTCTCCCATGTGTGCTCAGACTCAGAAGCTGCTATAGTCCTGTGTACACAAAGCAGTATTGTTTACAAAGTACACTAATCATACTGCCTTCACAAGGTTGTGTATATAAGCTGAATTAGAAAAGCCTATAAAGCACATGATGGATGGCTTTACAAAGAAACCTGACTGAGCTACTATATCATTAGCTAATACGATTAAAACTGTTTTTGTTTATTGTGTTTTTATGCTCTGTCAATACATTACATGTTATTGTTTGCCTTATTGACTTGTGTGTATATATATGTGTGTGCAGTTTGCAGCCATAGACACAGCAGGCCAGTGCATGGCTGTAGCAGGGAGGCGGGGCTTTGCACACTACTCCTTATTCACCAGGAAATGGAAGCTGTTTGGAAACATCACTCAGGTATGTGACATTTGTAGGCCAAGATAAATAACATGTTAAAAAACATATTTTCTAGATTTATTTAATATATTCTCTATTCTTTTTTAGATTTTGTCCAGATTAAACATGATGGTCGTTATCTTCTGTATTATGATCTAGCTTTCAAAACATAATTTAAGCATCTTGTTGGGAATCTTAGGTTTGTTAAGTTTGAAAATATTGCCAGTTGTGTTTCATGCTCAAATAAAAACTGTGTGTTTGCATGTGTGTAGGAGCAGAACATGACGGTGACAGGAGGGCTGGCTTGGTGGAAGGACTTTGTGGTGGTGGCCTGTTACAATTATATAGACCAGCAAGAGCAGGTGAGACTGAAGCACCACCTTTATTTTCTCTTAAATTCCCCTTTCTGTTTATCTAGATTCCAGTTGTGTAAGTCAGGTTCTGACGTTTCCTTCTGTTGACTCTAGTTGAGGCTCTATCAGCGCTCAGCAAACCTGGACAACGCCTTTGCATCTGTCACTAAGCTGCAGTCAGACACTCTGCTGCTGAACGTCTTCAGAGACATGGTCATCCTGTTCAGAGCCGACTGCTCCATCTGTCTCTACAGCCTGGAGCGGAGGAACGACAGGTACACATCACACCTTCAGTCTTACATTCAGAACTAGCATAGCTCCCACTGTTACATTTCTGACTCTGGCTAGGAAAACCCTATGTTGATTAAATATACTATAAATAATATTTTCCCAGGCAAATCTCAGTCATTTGTATCCTTAGAAACCTTTTCCCACTATATTCTATGTGTTGGCTCTTTCAATGTAAGAATTGGCTAAAATTGTCTAAATAAACTAGATTTCCTTTAAAGATTAAGATCAAGAGTAAAATCAACTTTTAATAATCCCTGAGGGGAAATTCAGCACCAGTAGTCATAATATTGTTAGGTTCCTCTGCCACATTTCCCCTTGGGAAAAGAGGCATTTAGTAAAAGCTATTGACTCGACACGACAGAAGTGTTCCTCAGCATTATGTCTGTTGAGATTATACATTGCTTTTAATGAAGTATTTGGCGGTCTTCATAACCTTTAAAGGTTGCCAGATCTGTAAGGATTCCTGCTTACTTCCTTATTTTTAATGACATTTATTTCAAGTCAGATACAAGCGATTCATTAAATCAGGGAACCTTCCTGAACAAAACATTAAAGTGAGCAACATCAAGTTGTCTGCCAACATTGACTGCATTGACGTTTAAAGAAAATGAGATTCTGTTTGGCAGTCGAATGCTGTTCCCTCGGATACCGAAAGCCCTGCATTTCTTTGCGTTAGGATTTTTTGGCGCTTTAGTGGTTTACCTGGAAGATATGATTCTGCCTTTAATAATGTTCGCCTTTATTTCCTGTTTCAGTCCACACCCGACAGCCAGTGTGGAGTTGTTGCAGGAGGTGTCGATGTCTCGCTACATCCCTCACCCCGCCCTGGTGGTCTCCGTCACACTCACCTCTGTGCGCACAGAGACCGGCATCACATTGAAAGCCCCGCAGCAGGTAAGAAAGCTACACACACTTTCTGATATATACTGCCTCTAAAGGTGCAAGTACCTTCATGTTTAACATATGTGTGTGTGTCCATCTCAGGCCTGCATGGCAGAGAGCATCATGTTGAACCTGGCTGGCCAGCTGATCATGCTGCAGAGGGACCGCTCAGGGCCGCAGGTACGGGAGAAGGAGACGCCTGCCAACTCCAAGAAGCTGGTGAGTCCCAACAATAACCAATGCATTGTCTCCAGTTTTACTTTAAAGGTCCCCTATCATACTATTTTTCATCAATATATCATATTTCTCAGTTATATACAAAACAAGTCTCTGAAGTAGGCCTGTCGCGATAAGCAATTAATTGACTTATTGTACGATAAATAAAAATGAACTCGATAACTTTTCTGACTCGATAAATTGCTGTTTACATGCGTGTTTGTTTACATAATGATGTGACCGGCTAGGCGCGCTGTGGCTGCGGGGCCACTCTACCGGCCAGGCGCGCTGTGGCTGGCGGGCCACTCTACCCGGCCAGGCGCGCTGTGGCTGCGGGCCACTCTTACGGCCACAGCGCTGTTGGCTGCCGGCCACTCCTACCGGCCAGGCGCGCTGTGGCTGCGGGCCACTCTACCGGCCACAGCGCCTGTGGCTGCGGGCCCTCTACCGGCCACAGCGCTGTTGCTGCGGGCCACTCTACCGGCCAGGCGCGCTGTGGCGCGGGCCACTCTACCGCCAGGCGCGCTGTGGCTGCGGGCCACTCTACCGGCCAGGCGCGCTGTGGCTGCGGGCCACTCTACGGCCAGGCGCGCTGTGGCTGCGGGCCACTCTACCGGCCACAGCGCTGTGGCTGCGGGCCACTCTACCGGCCAGGCGCGCTGTGTGGCTGCGGGCCACTCTACCGGCCAGGCGCGCTGTGGCTGCGGGCCCACTCTACCGGCCAGGCGCGCTGTGGCTGCGGGCCACCATCTACCGGCCACAGCGCTGTGGCTGCCGCGCCACTCTACCGGCCAGGCGGCTGTGGCTGCGGGCCACTCTACCGGCCAAGCGCTGTGGCTGCGGGCCACTCTACCGGCCACAGCGCTGTGGCTAGCGGGCCACTCTACCGGCCAGGCGCGCTGTGCTGCGGGCCACTCTACCGGCCAGGGCGCGCTGTGGCTGCGGGCCACTCTACCGGCCACAGCGCTGTGGCTGCCGGCCACTCTACCGGCCAGGCGCGCTGTGGCTGCCGGCCACTCTACCGGCAGGCGCGCTGGGTGGGCTGCGGGCCACTCTACCGGCCACAGCGCTGTGGCTGCGGGCCACTCTACCGGCCAGGCGCGCTGTGGCTGCGGGCCACTCTACCGGCCACAGCGCTGTGGCTGCCGGCCCGGTGCGCTGTGAGGGGCGGGGCTCACACACAGCCATGTCAGGCCACTCCGCGTGCAACAGTGTAGCAGCCAAATGAATAATATAGAGACAAGCAGGAGACAACGTGTGACTTACTCGAGGGGAATTCAGTAGTTGATGACAGGGGATGTTGATGCTGGCCCTGATAACTTTTTCTTACGGGGCTATTTTTATCAGGTCTGTAGCCTTTGGTGTCACTGGCTTAATGCTTATGTTAAATATTGTTCAAGCATTCTAAAGCAGACTAAAGTGCCAGTGATGGTAAATCAGTAACCAGAGGTGTGTCTTATAAAAGACACTGTTGGGGTTAGTTATAATCTTTAATGTCAGTGGTCTTAAAACCTTAAGCAACTTCACACATCTTGTCAATAGAAACATAACACAACCTGCACCCAAAAAAGGGTGTTATACAAGTTTAGGTTAGGTTAGATTTGTTGTCCCCAGGAGCAGCATATTAAGTCTAGGTTGTGTTAATGAATCCCTTTCCTTCTCCCCTAGCTACAATTTTGTCCTCCCGTGGTGCTGGCCCAGTGTGTGGAGAACGTGTGGACCACCTGTCGCTCCAACAGGAAGAAGCGCCACCTGCTGGAGGCCCTGTGGTTGTCCTGCGGCGAGGCGGGCATGAAGGTGTGGCTGCCTCTGTTTCCCCGAGACCACCGCAAGCCCCACTCCTTCCTCTCCAGACGCATCATGCTGCCCTTTCACATCAACATCTACCCTCTGGCCGTGCTGTTCGAGGACGCCCTGGTGCTGGGGGCCTCCAACGAGACGGTGCTCTACGACGGTCTGCAGGGCCCCTCTGAGCCGCTGGAGGTGCTGTTCCCTTACTGCACCGTGGAGAGGACGTCCCAGATCTACCTCCACCACATCCTGAGGCAGCTGCTGGTGCGCAACCTGGGTGAACAGGTACGAGGAGCCGCCATACTTAGGGAGAAATCAACATGAGTGTACTTACGTATTCTAAAACAGTTCCATTATATGATGAGGCTTTGCTTGTTTGCACTCCTACAAAGTACATAGACTCTTTTCCATTACTTTAAAACAATTAGATTTTTTGTTTAGAGAAAAGCCATTTTGGTACATCAATGGTAACCACAGTTACAGAATAAAAACAACCAGTGATCGTCGTAGTCTTAACTTCTATTGTACATCGACTGAAGAGCCGTGCTTTTGAATTTGTTCCCTGTTCTTCTCTTGAAGTCATATAAAATTCATAACCAAAACAAACCAGTCAACCAAAAAGGGAGAGAGTAATGAGCAAACTGACAGATAAAAAAGCATCCAAATAAAAGGAAACAGATGAGGGACGGTGTCTCCATTATACAAAAATGGACAACATTTGAAGAAGGGCTGCCACTTAGTGTAAGACGTACAGGAATCGCCTCTTTCAGTTTGAGGAAAGACATAACATCCCTGAGCCACTTATTTGGAAGTGTTTTATTTCATGACTTAACGTCCTCTCTACCACAGGCTTTGATGCTGGCTCAGTCCTGTGCCTCCCTGCCCTACTTCCCCCACGTCATGGAGCTGATGGTGCACGTGGTGCTGGAGGAAGAGGCCACGTCGCGGGAGCCCATCCCCGACCCTCTGCTGCCCACCGTGGCCAAGTTCATCACAGAGTTCCCCCTCTTCCTCCAGACCATCGTCCACTGTGCCAGGAAGACGGAGTACGCCCTGTGGAACTACCTGTTTGCCGCCGTGGGAAACCCCAAAGATCTGTTTGAGGAGTGTCTCATGGCCCAAGACCTGGACACAGCAGCCTCCTATCTGATTATACTGCAGGTAGAGACACGATGACTCTGCATGTTCATGATCAGTTAGCTGTTCAGAGCATAATGCAGCGATGATCAGACATCTTTTTCCTATTTAGCCTATTAATAACTATAAAAAAGTCTCATTTCTAGTGTGAGCACAAATGAATTTATTGTGATACCTGACTTAAAACTGTTCAGGGTGTCATGCTATCAAAAAAAGCTCACAGTCTCCATCTGTCTCCATTTCTTCTCCTTCTCTCTCTGTGAAGAACATGGAGGTTCCAGCAGTGAGCAGACAACACGCCACTTTACTCTTCAACACGGCACTCGAGCAGGGCAAGTGGGACCTCTGCCGGCACATGATCCGATTCCTCAAAGCCATCGGATCTGGGGAGATGGATACTCCTCCCCCAACACCCACCACTCAGGTAGAGAACTTTCAATAATCTCTACAAACATTTATTTCCTTTGTTTGACACTTTTCTTTGACTAGCTCTATAGAAATCAGTCAGCAATCTGTTGGAATCTGTCCAACATTTTTTATCTCAATTGTGTTTTTATTCATCAACATTGAAAACGCCACCTTATTGTTTTCCCTAATCCACAAAACCTGAAAAAAGTGGAATAATATGGTATAAAATACGTCATTTAATTCCTATCCATTTGCCATGTCGATTCCTGCTTTAAAACAAGTACCAATGTATTCATTCCTGATGTAACAACTATTCGAAAAGCAGACGATAAAAGTGAGTAAATGACATTTTATAACAATTCAACATAAAGAGGCAACTCACAGAAGTGCAGAACAAGCATCAATTTAGTTGGTAGTAATCTGTCCTTGATCAAGCTAGTCTGAAACACACTTTAACATGAAAGTTGAACTGTGTGTCTCTGTGTTTAGGAACCCAGCAGCTCAAGTGGTGGTTTTGAGTTCTTCAGAAATCGCAGCATCAGTTTGTCGCAGTCAGCGGACGCCATCGCTACGGGGAAGTTCAACCTGCAGAAGACCTTCAGTATGCCCTCGGGACCCTCGGCTAAAGGGTAGGGACACACTATAGACACAGGGTATGTTTTCTTCAAAATGCCCTCACAGCAACATCTCAATTCTTCCTCTCCTTCTTCCTGTGTTCTTCCTGTCAGTCGGGAGGTGGACTGTGCGGAGAACATGTACATCGACCTGATGCTGTGGCGTCACGCCCGCCACCTCCTGGAGCAGGTCCGCCTCCGAGACCTGGGATGCTTCTCCGCACAGCTGGGCTTCGAACTCATCGGCTGGTTGTGTCGGGAACGGAACCGCGTGGCCCGGGTCGAGGACTTCGTGTCTGCGTTGAAGCGACTCCATAAGGACTTCCTCTGGCCCTTCCCTGTTATCCCCGTGGGAAGCATCAGCTCGCCTCTGAAGAACGGACGCTGTCGCCCAGGTGAGCGAGACACGATCGAGGCAACACAGGAGCTGTCTGGGGAAACTTGACAGTTTTTAGGTTTTATTAAAGGTCCCCTATTATAGTTATCGGTTATATACAAAACATGTCTCTGAAGTGTTGGGTCAAAACACCAAACAGATCATTGCAGCATCCCATAATCCCCTCTGTTTCAGCCCCGTTTCCAAAGTGCTGATTCTGTCTTTTACTTTAGATGAAAACAAGGAGCCCCTCCCCACGCCCCTCTGAGAGATATTTGGTTAAAAAGAACACAATGTTGCTCTAGGAGGAGATTCAGGTAATAAGGTGGGGGGGGGGGTTACCTTGGTTGCTGATTGGCTAATGGTTACACAAGCCAAACACTCGTTATGACATCATAAAGTGGCCAAAATCTGATCAGCTCATTTTCAGACAGGATTTTGAGAGAAGGGAATGAATCTTTGTTCCTGAAACGTTCAGAATGTCTTCACACAGAGGGGACACATGTTTATGTATAAAAGACATGAAAAAGTGGGTTTAGCATAATAGGTGACCTTTAACATGAACCAAAGTTGGCTCTCTGCTTCCCCAGTTAGCAATACTCTCAGCTCTATCCTAATATTTCATGTTGTGTTTTTGTTGTTTCCTAAGCGCTGAGCACTCGGCTGTTGAAGTCTCAGTCGGCTGACAGTCTGCTGAACAGCGACATGGACACGGGGCCCCTTCAGGTGGACAAACACCAGCCACAGCTGGCTGGACAGGCTGGAGGACAGAGCCAAGGACATGGACACAGCCTCCTCCGCCCACTCCAACCAACACTCTCCACAGACACACGACGCCATCCTGTCTCTGCTCACCAACAAAGGTAAACAACAGTTACTAACAGGAGAAGTATTTAAATGAATCCCTATATCCTCTCTTAATCCTTCTCTTTCTCTCCCCTCTAGTGGAGGAGTACAGCGTGGGCTCGGCCACAGACCTGACGGAGACCAGCTCGGTGGTGGATGGTGATTGGATGATGGTTGATGAGAACTCGTCCACTCTGAGTCTCAGTCAGGCCGAGTTGGAGCACATCTCCATGGAGCTGGCTAACAAAGGCCCGCACAAGTCACAGGTGCAGCTCAGGTGAGACCCTAAACACCACTAACTCTCCCCCCATGGTCCCTCTGCAGTTGGGTTTGATCCAATGTAAATCATAAGCCTGTATTTGACAGCGGTGCCTCTCTTCCCCTTCAGGTATCTCCTTCATGTGTTCATGGAGGCGGGCTGTCTGGAGTGGTGTGTGGTGATTGGTTTGATCCTGCGGGATGCCAACGTCATAAAGCAGGTGATCTGCTTCCTGGACAGCCCCGAGGTCCCCCAGGAAACTGTGCAGAGCATCCGGAAGGGCCTATTGGCTGTCGACTCGTGGGTGTCCACTAACTGGTGGGTGTAACTTTGAAGTGTAATGAAATAGGTACTTTTACATAGAAAGCATTATTTTTGGAATCAGAATATAAGTGATTAGTAGCCATTATGTGATGAACTCTACAGCATTGGTTAAGGCAGCTGTGAACACAAACATGGAATAAGTATTTTAACATTCTGGATGTTTGTGATGTGAGATTCAAGCTTAGTTTCTTTAGGGAGCACATTTTAAAACAACAGAGGTTGACCAAAGTCAAACATCCAACAATGTATATGTGTATAGTAGAGATGTTAAGATTCACCGATTCGCATCGGTGCACCGGCATAAACGTTCAAGATGCAAGTGCACCGGTTGAAAGAGGGCACATCGGCTACAGTTTGGGTTGAACCGGGTTGAACTCGCGATGCATCGATTGCGTAACGTCTTTGCATCGGTAAAAAAACGATTCATTCATATAAAATCCCCTAATCTTGTCAACGCTCAGTAGAGACGATCTTTGATATTTGCTTCGCCACTACGGAGGCCGAGAGTCTCAGTTATCAACACACACGGAAGTTGAGGAGAAAGAGAAACACAGCGCACCGAAAAATACCTACAAATCAAACGTTTGCCAACACTTCGGATTGTTCAAGAAAGACGGTGTAATAGTCCTTTATGCTATATAGTTGACCGCAGGTCATGGAGAGTAATAAGGTATCCGTAGACCTTTGTATGAGGTATCTTTATTACTTAACAGGTCTACAGCCATGATACATAGATCCGTCCTAGATGCGGGCTTGCATGCACACAGTATCACTCCGCAGCCGCACCCCATCAGTAACGTCCTGATGGTATATGTGCGCGGCACAGACGGTCAACTTGAAAAATCGCTCGCAAATTGTTAACGATGCCGAGCCGCTTTAAAGTACACAAGTAGTACGAGGAACTTAGCGACGCACATAAAGAGTCGACATGGGGTCTGCGGCTGAAAAGAGAAACATGAAAGTTAGACATACGAGTTAAATCACTCAGTGAGGTGTTCTGTCAGAGAGAGTGGTGTTTAGTTTACAGCAGCCTGTGACGGCCAATAATAATTTAAATGTCTTCCTTACTGTAAGCAGTTATGAAATACCTGTTTGTGAAAGGTTATTTGTATTCTTTATTGTTCATATAGAAACCACTGCTTTCTGCTCACTGGTGAGTTAGCCTATGAATGAGTGTTAAGCACATCAGGCTGGCAGCTGTATGGGCATTGCACTATGGTAGCTGTTATTTGCACATTGTTAATCATGAGCAATGCTTCCTTACATTGTTTATCTGTGAGGTGTTATACAATTGTACTCTGGAGAGCTTTTAAAGGTAAAAAAATAAACGGCATGATGGGATGTGCAGTACCAAATATGTAAAGCACTTTTTTGTTAATGTATGATTTGCTGCATATAAGGAATAAAACAAAAATCCTCTGTCGTACCATATTGAAGTATCATTATTTTTGCATGGTGTTGAATCGCATCGTATCGCATAATGTTGAATCAAATCGTATCGAACTGTATCGCAACAGGGGTGAATCGTATCGTATCGCATCGCCTGGTGTTTCAAATGTATCGTTAATGTATCGTATCGTGGCAACGTATCGAGATGCGCATCGCATCGGCCTCAGTGATGGAGATGCACATCCCTAGTGTATAGGAAATCTTAAAACATAAAAAAAATAGATACAACCAGAACAGTGCACATTTCCCTGTTGTGAGACTTGTATATAGTTTTCTTGTCTTAACAATGACAGTGGCGTGTATAAAACAAAAGGAGGGCAAATTCATTCATAAATATATATCACAGTATTCATTTGTGCCCATTTTTCAAATAAATTAAAGTTGGAAACATTTTCAAACTAATCTTAGTTCATTTAAAAAGCCCAATCACATCTTTTTATAAGCAATCTGAAGCTTCTGTTTTAAGGCATGAGCTGCAAACTAAATCAAGTGATGATGAAGGCTGTTGTGTTTCTAGCAGTATCAAGAATCATTGACCTACTTAAGAGGCAATAATCCTCACTTCTAGTGAGCGGCCCAGCCCTTCATATATTTTTCTGTATGTGGCCCTCGGTGAAAAAAGTTTGGACACCCCTGTGTTGGAACAATCCAAAAATGTTAGAAAATGTACCCACTTTGACCTCTTTCCCTCCTCACTCTCATCCTTTCTCCAGCCTGGGCTACAAGCCCTTCCTGAGCCTGATCCAGCCCCAGCTGCAGGACCTGATGGAGGCGGCGGTGGAGGCGGTGCAGCCCGAGGCCTTCCAGCCCACCAGCCAGAGCTCCAAGCTGGGCGGCTCCGAGGGTCCGGGAGGGGCCGCGGCGCCCCGGGCGGAGGACATCCGAGGAGTAGCGGCTCCTCTGGGCCTCGCCCTGCCCTCCCTGGAACCCCCGGGAGGGTTCCCCCGTCCCCCCTCTGCCGACTGTCCCCCCGAACAGACGGAGGAGCAGGGGAAGGAGGAGGGGGCCTACGACTGCACCCTGTCATGAAGCCAGGAGCCTCCTCTGGACTCACACCTGTGACAGAGGGGGGCACAGCAGGGGCTGGACTGGAAATATACTCTTGTTGGAGTGTGTGTGTCTGAGTGTGTGTGTGTGCAGAAAGTACCTCTCCTGCAGGTTCTTACTTCAGTCAGTATTATCCACTCTTCAGATGTACCCCCCTGTGGATACCGAGCTACAGACCATAATGTGCTGTTAGACAAAAGCCACCTGTCAGTTTGTGCGTCTATACATCAGGTGTGTGGAAGCTGTGGACCAGCACATTTCATTTGTTCAAATTCCAAGACAAATAATCTGTGTGCGTAGCTTTTCTTTGACACTCAAGTTCAACTGGAGGCTTTGGAACGTTTTATTTGTTTCACTGTCCAGACAAGAAGCTCCATTGTTTCCTTTGGTGTAATGTGTGCAAGAATCAGTTCACAGACGAGCCCTGAGTGTGTTAGCATCATGCTACATCGCCTAGCAAAACGTAGAACAAAAAAACATTTACAGGAAGTGTGTCTGAGCCCACGGCGTGCACGAGAGGTGTTTCATACTTTCATACCTCATATGATTTAAAAATATTTTGTGATACCTTTTTCAATAATGTAACAGTGTACAAAATAACATTATTTTTCTATCCATTACACCTCGTCCTTCTTGAGCCTCCCCTTAGAAGCATGGTATGAATTCTTTGAGAAGTGGCGTCCTGAGCATTTCTCAGAATACGATCGCGGATTAGTTTCCAAACACATTTCATACACCACCTTTGCTGATACCCAGACCCAAATATGACCGAGTGCGCTGTCTGATATTCTTCACGTGTTCCAGATTTAAGACAACAATCAGAGCAGTGTTGAGCAGATTTTAAAGCGCCATAAAAACCAAATGATGTGATATGTTCTCCAACTTTTAAACACACATTTGGGTTTAAGTGTCCGTCTGGGAGATGAGAATGTGTTTCCTTTCATCAGCGAGGCAGATTTTGTGTTATTAAATCCATCCTACTCTGAAGACTTCATGCTTATTGAAAGAGGATCAATTCCTTCCCTCAGCAGCAGTGTTAACAGTCAGTATCATTTTTGAAGTGAGAATGGTTGCATTGGCTATGTAATGGAAGAATTGTAATTTCACTTGCCATATCACCTCCCTGAACCTCTAAGACTATGATTTCTGGATGCGTGTACCACATTGTATTGAGAACGTGTCGACTTGCTTGGTGACTCATCACATGCAAATAGATTTTAATCGTATTAGTCTTCATTTATGGTATTATTTATTGGCATTATAGCTGCCTCTGAATTTTGCTCGGTTTGTTTTTACTGACTGATAACAAACTTGTCCCCCTTTAATGAAATCAAACTCGTGTATTGGCTCTCTACCGCAGGAACTAAACGGTTCATCAGTCAGTATTATATTGTGCAATGTATCGAAATGTTACTCAGCTTTATTTTTGTATGTTCTTTTCCCCAGCTTTTACTGACCATGATAGACCAAATTATATTTGATAGATACCTTTTAGCTCTCTTGTAATGAGATGAGTCGGGTGTCGTATCTGTATGAAATTCTTCAATGTATGAATTGCCTGTTTTGTTCAAACACTCACAAAAGGGCAGAGTGATGAACTCAACCCCCCCCCCCGAACAAGCGTACAGCAACACTACGCTGCTCCGCTTTACTTGAAAAACGGTAGCACGACGAACCAAAGACTTGACGTCCAGAGGCCTTCTGCTCCCACCGGTTGCTTCAAATCGAGTGTCTCACAACGCAAAGGGGAGACAACAAAAACACCCTCACCCCCCCTCTTCAGAAACTAACCATTGATGCTCAAACTCATTCTGACGAGACAGTTTCCTAGGGAAATGATGAATACTGCCGATGTTTTCTGGTTCCCTTCTCTGCAGGTGGGGGCAGGTCATGGTACTCTAGGTGCACCCCCCCGTGTACAGTTTAAATTGTTGCCTGATTCCTGAGTAGATTTTTTTTTTTTCTGGGGCATCGGCAGCAAACATCCTCAGTGCAGTGTAAAGGTACTCTCTTGTACATTTGCCTTTTCTACTCATGTTTGGTTTTCTACTTCATTTTTTTTCCTTGTACATAAAGACCAATAAATTATTTTTAAAAATGATGAGTGGCCTGTGTTTCTTTACATGTAGTGATATGAGTTACTGAATTAAACACATCTAATAAAACCAGCTGTAAAGTTTGATTCTAATTTCTGGTATGGACTCACTGGGTCACATGACATGGAGGCTATTGAAAGATTAACAGTTTAAAAAGGACAATACAACCAACAACAATATTGTAATAAGCGTTTTTAATGCTGTACAGGTGCTAATTTAATTCAAGCTTTTTGCATAAGATCAAATCATCCTGTCCAATCAACAGATGATACCCTGTCACCAGATCAATCCCATAAAACCAGTCATATCAATCAGTTCATTACAATTGACAGACAAATATGCAATTTCAAAAAAAAAAGAAGCAAAACAGCAGTTCAAGGAGTTATTGAACATTTCAAATAAATCACAAATTAACAAAAATCATCAGTTTAAAAAAAAAATAACATTAATTGAACAACAGTTAGAGAAGTAGGCATGAGTGATGTTGGAACAAAAGCGTTAACAATTTGAACATCTTTAAAAAAAATAAGGACATCCAGTTTCCCTGTGTCCCAGATTAGATGTCAGTACATTGAGTGATGAAGGTAAAGCAACATCCTAGTGTGATTTTACTCCGCCTCTCAGTCTAAACTGAGTTACATTAATACATCAGATTCTGTTGCAAACTATTTCAAATCACTGTTTAATTTATGTTAAGCTCTCTGTGTGTTTCTTTACTCTCACAGTGGGAGGAGCACCAGCGGCGTCAGGGGAGCCGTTTCACAGCAAATCAAGACGTCGTTCATCTGTGTCCGACGTTTACAGCAGTTCCTCCTGTGGTCGGGCTTTTATTGAAACAAACGGACCTCTTGTCAGTCATTAACCGCCAACACATTTCATATTATAACTCTAAACACATCTTGAAATGGTCAGACTCTGAAGGTCATTTGACAAACTGTTATCTTGTTGGAAATATGAAGCTCAGAACATTTGGGGAAAAAAAGTCTTGTTTCCATGTTTTCCTTCAGTGTCTAACAAAATCACTATATGACTTTTCCACAGATTATTAGAAAATAACCATTTACACTTGTTAATAAAGCTTTTCCTCCCGGAGACGCTCTGCATATTCACTTTCAATAAAACAGATTTAGATCAACTCAAGTCACTTAAATAAGCATCTACGCACTGATGTGTGTGTGTGTGTGTGTGTGTGTGTGTGTGTCTCTGTTGAGGTTCGGGGAGAGCAGCACTGAGTTAACGCAGCAGCAGCATCTGTTACACACACACACATTTACATTACTACCAACTACTGTCCATGGGTTTTACTTGCTTTCACTGCTGTAGTATCTGGGGTTAATGGCTAAAACGCACACAAAACACAGGTATGGTCCTATTAGGATTGACAAAAAGAAACAAACTTGATGAGTAGAATCAAATCTCTTTCACTGGCCAATTACAAAAAACTATTCCGACAATACAGTCTAAGTGAATTCATAACAGGAGAGGTCTGATGTGTTTAGTTTTATGAAGGGACACTGAGGACAGATGTGTCACCTGCTCTCACACACAGATGGAGTTAGAGTACTTTAAAGACGTGTGCATAAGCGAAGGAGCAGAGTAGGACCGTTAACTGCCGAGCGTCGTCTAAGGCTGGGATGGATTTAAATTTAAACTCTCCAACAGCATAAAAACAGTGCAGCACCTGATCGCTTTAAAAACCACTGAGTCGTTGGTGTCCACGACAGTAAACCGTTTGTGTCGTTGGAAGCGAAATGTTAAGGCCTCCTTCATGTCAGCATGTCGGAAAACATGGATCACAACGACATGTGTAACACAAAGCGGACAAAAGACGAGTTTTTCTCCCACGCCTTTACAACCCGATGTCACATTGAGAGGGAGTCAAACTTTAGACAAGCAACAGTGGACATTGTTGTTTGAACAGATTCCTCAGTGGGGGACGGTCACTTGATAACAGATGCGATTTAAACGACTGCAGAAATCAGAGGTAACTGCAGATCATCATAACGGTGCTTTATAATCCATTCAAAAATAATCTCTCTAAAATGAGTTGGCTAAATCATTCCCATATGTTCAACAGTCACATTCAAACCACGACACGAGGACAATAAAAGCTGTTATCACAAAGTATGGATCACTGCAGAGGTAGCGGTGACACTAAAGGGGCCAGTATACTCCCTCAGACGGCTTGAGGTAGGTGGTGAGTGAAACAGCTCCGTGAAGCCCCTCCCCCACACCTGTTCATTTCTAGAACTTTCCGAAACCAACATTAACAACCACTTTGCACTTAAATGACCGATGTTACGGTGATCCTTGAACCTTCCTCTAGCTTTCTTGGCACACTACAATTTGTGTCACTTTTCACATGAGCGACCAAGTGCAACACGCAGAGTGCATTTCCTCCGGGAGAGGTTGACCTTTACCCCCGTGTGCAATCTCTCCAGTCACTGCGCCGCTTCTCTTCTGAATGTACCGTGGTGCTGTCAGGGGCCGGCTATCTGAAGGAGCAAGTTGTGGTACTTAGGCTCTAGATGGAAAGGCTCCACATGAGATGAGTGAACTATGTGAAATATTAGCCATACACACACAAGATAAGATACTGCTAAGAGCTGTCGGCAGCAGCACCGATGTGAAGGTTTAAATGATTGAGGGCATCTACATTTAATTTACCCTTAAATAAAACCTATATAACTGCTTTTGGTGATGCCTAATGTCTGTTATGTTCCTAATGTCTGTATTTTCTGTAGATAGTGATGACATTTGGTAACAATTATAGTGTGGAGTTGGTTGGCTTTCCGGCCGCTCACCCTCAAGGCCCCGGGGAATAATGCTAGTCACGGGACATTCAGACTGCCCCTGTTTCCCTGGGAGTTCTCATCAAGACCATTTCAACACAAGTTAGGTTGATCCCACCAGGCTGAAACATTAAGACTTATATCGCCCTCTGCACAGACTCCCCAGGAAGGCTGCTCCTTTAAAGGACACATTGACATTTTGATTCTAGTCAGCTGTTGCCAGCTCTCTGACAGTTAACCCAGATTGTTGGCGTTCCTCATGTAAACACAGCGGTACGACTTGCTAATCAGTGGTGCTACTGAGGAGTTAAAATGAGCAATTTCACTGTTAACAGAAAAACGATTTGCTCAGAATATAAACATGTTGGTGAAAAGCAACTTTCAAAGTGTCAACGTTTCCAGTCAAAGTCAGTGAAAGGGTCAAACAGATCCATCGGTATGTATCTACACCTACAGTGGTTCTACAGGTAGTGTTCATTCCTGCATAGGAAGCCTGATGTAATCTGAGGGGTTAGCAGGGGAAGTGGTTATTCATTCAGGAGGAATGGGCGAGGAAGGAGGCATGAGGGAAAGTGAGGAGGAGGAGGGTGAGATGGATCGAGTAAAGCAAAGGCACGACAGATTGATTTAAAAAAATAAAAAGGAAAACGGAACCCCTTTGTTTCGCTAACCCAGGAGAGAGCACGAGGCTTGTGTTTGCCGGTGCCTCGGACGTTGAGTTTGTAAGCTCTCTGATAGGCTTACCTCTGCCGTGTCTCCGCGCCTCCTCCTGCTCCGTTAGCTATAAGCCTGCTGACACAGTGATGGGGGTCTCTCAGGGAGCAGGAGTGTGTTAGAGTGTCAGAGAGGAAAGGCGCCCGGGCTGGTCCTCAGTATTGTTCCTTTAAAATCAGTTTGTATGTCTCAGGGGGGGGGCCCTTTGACCCTCAGCTCTCCTCAGCGCCGTCCTCTGCGATATGTGGCGTCCCTCAGTATCGGTACATGTCGTAGGTACTGACCCAAGACGAAGGAAAAGCCCATGAGGGAAACCTGCGGAGGACTTCCTCCAGCTGAGCAGTCCTACTGTCCTGTCCGAAGAAATAGTGGGTGGAGATGGCAACGGAGATCATCCCCTCGGGGCCTGAGGGGTCCGGGTCCCTAGGGGGCTGAGGAGGAGAAGGACAGACCCCTGGTTAACACACAGTTACCATGTGAGAGGACCAGCAGTGATCCCAGGCCTTAAGAAAAGAACACCTTGTCTTTGGCTTAGTTACGCTGCATGTGTTTGAGCTTATGCAACGGATTTCAAAAGAGTCTTTAAAAGGTCATGGAGTTTGTCTCAACAATTGGTCAAATGAAGTCTTAAAATTGAGAGTTTAAAGGTTCTCCCATGACAGCAGCCCAGCTGTGTCCTGCCAGGAGCTAATCTCCTGCAGACATCACTGAAGCGAAGGTATTCAGAAATGCAGAGATGTGAGGAATGAAAGGAATGACATCAAAACAAAACTCAACATCTGTCTAAATACTAAGCTGTCAAAGGTGCAGCAGTACCTGGTGATTTACAGAATGTTGTAGGCAAGGAAAACAGTGTTCAAATAATAGTTTGGGTATTTTGTTGTTGGGCATAGGAGCTGGTCAGGTTAGCTTAGCATACATACAGGGAAGAGGGGTAAAGAACCAGCCTGGCTCTGTCTAAAAATAGAAGCCACTGTCATCAATTGTTTCCTTTAAATACACAGGTTATAACCAATTCATAAAAAAACATATAATTTAACATTTAGAAAATGAGTCAGTGATATAAAAATGTTCTGCCAAAAAAATGTCAATGCAATTTATCTTCAAAACCCAAGCCAACAGATGGCAATGACTAACAGATTATATTCTCTTACCAAAAATAGAAAGCCGTTTGAGCAAAAAAATATGAAAACAACAACAATATAAAATGTTATTGCACAATGTGTACAGACTCTTCTCGGGCTGCAGGCAGTACCTGTATTTCAAACCAGAAGGTCCACGAGGGGGCGTCGAGGCCTCGAGAATAGAACACAAAATATTCTCCACTCAGATCGAACTGAGGCGTCCCGTCTCCGAAGGACCATGTGGAGAGGCCGGCTCCTCGATGGGGCATCAGATACAGGGACATGTGACTGGGGCCTGCACGTAAACACAGACACATCAAGATCAGCCAATTGAGAAATGAATGCATCCCATTATTCATAGTTTATATCCGTGACAGTGGTTATACTTTATTGGTTACAGCAGAACCGCTTGGCACCAGGGACCTAAACTGAAATGTAAACAAAGACTTAATACACTATAATAATGAAAGCATATCACATGCTGTTCCTCTGCAAAGGGTTTTTATGGCAAGATGGACTTGTTCCAATGTTCTTACGGTGCTCTTGAACATCAACATTTCTATGACAACTTGGTAAACTTGACCTGTAGACGAAGGTTTGTTTTAAAGCTCTAAAGCAGCTACCGAATGGACCTTGGATAAAATCATTTTTCATTATGTTAACAAGATCAAAGTTGACCTTTCAATCAATAATTTCATGTCTTAAATATCCCTGTGCAGACATCGTCTCAGTGCTGATGTAAACTCTCCACCTCATTTTATGTGTAACCAGATATTTTTGAGTGTGCCCAGTCAGCCTGTCTGAATATGCTGCCGTCATCAGGGAGATTCTCTGCACTAATCCTCTGACTCAAGTTCAACTCAAGTCACATGACATTGGGGCTTTTTTATCGTGTCTCTTACCCCTGCCTGCAGGTCCTTAGAGCAGGGGTGTCAAACTCAATTTCATCGCGGGCCACATTAGCATTATGGTTGCACTCAAAGGGCCGGTTGTAACTTTCAATCTCAATCTTTATTTATTTATATTGCACATTTAAAACCACCTCAGTTGACCAAAGTGCTATACAGGGAACACATATAAAATAACACAATGGGAGTAAAATAATAAAACCATAATTAAAAACAAGATAAAAAGCACAATAACTAGAAACATATAGAAACACATACAAATATCAAAATGTTATGTTCAACTAGTATTAAAAGCCAGTGCAAAACTTTAAGACTATATATAAATATATATACATAAATATTTAATATATATAAAATAATGTATTATATTACATTATTGCCTCTGCATTGGATTATGGGATAGGGTAATAACTTCATAATTAACTACATCTGAAAGCAGAAGTCTATGGCAAATAATTGCAAATCTCTTCAGTGTGCACGTCATAGAATGAGATGCATTGTGGGACATGTAGTTTATGTGCAATGTGCTTCTGTAAAGCGGCATTCAACCATGTAATAAACATATGATATTCTTTGCAAGCTCTTGCGGGCTACATAAAATGAAGTCGAGGGCCGGATTTGGCCCCCAGGCCTTGAGTTTGACACCCCTGCCTTAGAGGAATGTGTGTTTTTGGTGTCGTATTTGTGAAGATCTGATTACATTAAGTGCTCCTGACCTTTCACACTGAAGGTCATCTTGACCGTCCCCCAGCTGGTCTCCTCTCTGGACAGCAGGCTGAACTCCACAGGAGAGCTGGGAGACACTTCTGGAGCAGGGAGGTACCAGTTCTTCCTGGAAATGCAATCAAAACACTTTAAGGATGAATATGAAATATGAAAATCAACATGAAGTCCATTCACAATTCAACAAAACAAAGTGCAGGGAAACAGCGCATTCAGCTAAAAGCATGTTTTATGCATTACTGACTTGCTGAGGAACTTGACGGGCAGGAACCAGGGGTAACCGCAGAAGGGCCGGTCCTCTCGGCAGCTGGTGCGGATGCTGTCGTTGATGTCGGGGATGTGAGGCGTGATGTGCTGGATGCCTGTGTAGTCAAAACTGTTGATCCACAGACCTGAGTCCCGGCTCTCCACCTGGCCCTGCAGGTTGTGGAAGGTCCGCGTCGTGTGCTGAGGGAGCGTGGAGGAAACAAAGGTTTCATGTACTTTGAAGGGAGACACTACAGGTGAATATGGTCAAATGTTTACAAATAGATCAAATGACGAAACTTCCACAGTTTATTACTTAGTTTTAGAAATGTTGTATTTATATAGCCGAATGAGGAATTACCTAATGAATCTGCAGAAGCAAATAGGTAAACTCTATTAAAAATAAACACCTCTGTATTTGTAATGCATTCCTTCCAGTAGTCTGAAAGCAGACATCTTTTGGGAGTAAAATAGCCGAACCTCTCACATTTGACCAGTGCATGAAACAAATATATTTCTGCCTGTCATGTCCCTCCTGAGCTCTCTGTGATTTACATCAGCAAGAGGTGGAATCAGAGCACTTCTATCCAATCACTATATCTTGTTGAGAGATGTCATGGTGTGCCGTGTCCCAGTTACAAAAGAAACACGATGAATAGTGGGTTTGTATTTCACCTGCTGTCAACAAGAGATTTTAATCAGCCACAACTAGCTGTCCTGCTGTGCGCAGGACAGCTAGTTGTGGCCAAAACAATTGCCGAAAAAATGCAATTGAATGTTACTTTTTAAATGGATTTCCACCCAGTGAATAGAACATGAGTAATGTATGGGGGTTTTCAATATTCTTTCCTTAGCCAGTATTAGAATACATGTTTATGAATGAGTCTGAGGGCACATATTTGTGCTTCTGTGAGTGTGACTTCTAACCTGCAGGAAAACTCTTTTTGGCCTCGGGCTTTCTGGACTGGCCGAATAAGGAAAGAGGAAGCCACAGGACATCATCAGGAACGTGACGACGAAGACTGATGCCAGACCAGCCAGGATCCACTTAGTGCTCCGTGCCAAGTAGATGAAATGCAGCTGAGACACACAGGGAAACATAAGATGTTACTGGAGGAAACAAATATGAGGATTTGTTTATGTTATGGTGGATTATTCATTTAAAAAGATTAGTTTCAGACAATAATCCAAGCCACCATATGCTAGAATTACATAACATTTGACTGCCACTCAGTCGAGAGGGGTCTGCCTGCAAGCCTCCACTCTCAGGACAGTTCCGGTGCAGGCTCCACTCTCAGGACACCTCCACTCTCACGGAGGTGATGAGTTTGCTCACCATGCACTTTGGGTCGGCTTTGGTTAAGCCCTTTTGACCCCCCTAGCCTGGTTCTCGTAAAAGTTGTCATTTTCCACTCAAATGACACCATGGAGGAATGTAACGGGAGTTGACAGGGGACTCTGCCCGTCTAACGAGTGCCTATTTTTGCATTCACACCAAAAAGAGAACTTAGTTCATGAGAAATGTCCCCCCCTTTTTAGTCCTTGCTAGAGAGCAGGTACTTTCCTGGGGAGAATTGCAAACCACGCCCAGTAAAACTCTGAAAAGTTTTGTGAAGCCGCCTTTGTATTTGCTGGCATTAGCATTATTAGCATTAGCCCAGCGCACCAACGGAGAGAGACTAATTTATGGCAACACAAAAAAAAACATGGGAGCGGTGGAGTGATGAGGAGGTGTCTGCATTCTGGCGATTTACTCGGAAGGTTTCAGTAGAAGCTGCTGGCCAGTCCCCAACTCCGGGGACTTCGGGTGGCAGTATACGCCGTGAAGTTGTTTGTGGCCTGCCTGCCAGTAAACCCAAAGCAGAAGAAGAAGAAGTGACGTCAGCGGCTTCATTTGCGTAATCTTCCCTCAGGGACTTATTCCGGTGTGAACGCGATCTGCTCTTTAGTTCCATGGGGGAACTAAGCGCTGGGAACAAAGTATGGCAAAGTACTTGGTGTGAAAGCAGCTAATGTGACCTCAAGGTGAATCTGCTGTAAAAATAAGATATATACCTTTTATTCATTGTTGTACACAATGTGGGAATACTCACAAAAAAGGAGGAGAGGAAGATGGTTGCCAGGGTGACGAGGGTGGCCATTACTACCTCAGGCGGTATCTCGGTGCCGCTGCGACCCATAATAGGTGTGAAGATCTCAAACACCACCCAGATGAGGAACATGAAGTGGACGTAAGGCAGCCCCAGGCCCAACAGATAGAGAACACTGTACTTCAGTGACGCTCCTGCAGGAAGAGAGAGGGAACAGTTGTTCAAATTAAACAGCCAAAGATCCGACATTAAAGAATATTTTGGCTGCCCTGTAGGTTTTTTTGTATGTCTTTAAGTCTTTATCAGGATCCCCATTAGCACTAGCATGAGCATTGGCTATTCTTCCTGGGGTCCTCACACACATAAAACATACATACAACAAAATAAAAAAAAACAGCTCATCATTTCATGCAATTTACAATGCTGTATTAATTGAAAACTAAAATGGTCATCCAGTTATCGCCATTCTAAGGCCAAAATGTAGACTCCCTATTGAACCCTACTAAACATTATCAACAAAGTATGAATTGGGAATAAGGGCGTGCTGATATGAACTCTTGAACCTGGCTTTACCCGATGCCAGTTATTAAAAGTCGACAGAAGTGTACACAACTGTAAAAATAACACATTATCTTATACTGTTACTCTACTTTTATATACTGAATATAAATGACTAACTGTTAACACTTCTGTATATTTATACTTATCTTAATGCATATATATATTTACTATATCCCCGTTTACATTGAAATCATTATTTTGTAATTACCGCTTGATATTAAATGTATAGACTATCATTACATTTGTATTGCTTTATCTTCTTTTCATTTATAATACATATTTAATTATTGCTAGTGAAATCCTGAGACTTAATATTTGTTTTGCTAAAGATTGCTTTTATGTAATAGTTTTGTGTACGATGAACAAATAACTTTAATATTTTACTCAACTCAGATCTATTTTCCATTCAAATATGTCCCAGTTTCTAATAAATGATTCCCTATACCATTACACATCCATTGTGAATAAAGTTGAGTTGAGTGTGTACCTCTGTTTTTAAACTCTCGGGCCAGCAGCAGTCTGGTGGCCAGGGGGAAAGCCACCATGAGCATGGGGACGTAGGCTGAGCACAGGCCCTGCTGGGTGAGCCACACCAGGCTGCAGCACCATAGCAACAGGCTCACGTCAAAGTAGAGATCGCCCAGCTCCACCAACCGCACACCCTGCAGGGAACACACACAATAGCGCTTTGATGTGTGTGGAATCAGCTAAGTGTATTAATTTGCCAAAAAGAAAACTCTTGGGACTGAATTATGTTGACATAGAGGTATGCTAAACATTTTGAGAATCGCACTCCTTGCTCATCACGTAAACAACCTATGTTTCATAGGTTACTGATATAATGAGGTCAGATCAGTCACTGCCTTGTATAAAAGCAAAATTCATCACAAATTATATTTATCTTTTTACAAATCACTGCGGAAAAGACAATCACTACCTCTGTTGTGGATGAACACCAAACAGGAACAATCAATCATTTGACTTCCTAGTTTCTACATGGGGAACTTTACACCATGGCCACAGTGTTCTGAACATCCAGATCACAGCGTCACTGAGAGGCCCTCGCCCTGCTCTTCATGGTGTTTTAGGTTGAATGATTTGGTAACCAGCTGTTATATAGAAAGCCCTCGTATACAAAAATAAATATGTACAGCAGTGTTTGGTCTTGCATCACTGCCACACAAATAAATCCCCAGTGGGAGCTTCGCACTGCAGATTCTTGTCTTTATTGATGTGGAGCTACATCCACACACAGTTCCAATTCAACCACTTGCATGCACTTGTGTAGGCAAAACTAATGTATGATTGAATCAGCTCTTACACTTGTGTTTTATTTCAGAGTGCAAAAGAAAATATTTAGCGATGAGCGGAAAGTGGACAGTTAGCTAAATTTAACTGATAAATGGTTGAAAATGATAGTTAAAATTGTAAAATAGCTAAAAGTAAAGCATAAAGTTATAAAATAGTCAGGTAAAAGTAGCTTATGAATGGTTGGAACATACAGCTTAGGCCACTGGCATTTCTTGAAAAACAAACCCACTATTACATCCACTTTAACATCATTTATAGGAAATTATATTCAGTTTAAAATCAATATCATCAATATAAATTAGTTCATTTGGAACACGTGTGTGTGTGTGTGTGTGTGTGTGTGTGTGTGTGTGTGTGTGTGTGTGTGTGTGCGCGCATGTGTGCGTGTGTGTGTGTAATACATTACACTCAGGAAAGAAAGGTTTAGAATGCCACGGAACCACAGTACAAAATGATCAGTAAGTAGACAAGCAATTTGTACAATTAAGTAGAGTTCTCCTGCAGGCGTCGTACACTTACGGCCCGTCCACACTACAGCTTCAAAAAAAGCTTGGAGCTGGGCGTGTCTGAAGCTCGACCAACAACCAATCACATGAATCTCCTGCCCCTGACACACAAGCAGCGGTTTGATTGGCTAGAGCTTGTACTGGCATATGATTTGATTGGCTGACGCTTCCACCGAAAGCTTCAGAAGCTTCAAAAGTTGAACGGGCCGAAAATATGGAGTCAGATTTGGGTCAATATTCTCGCGCGCAAAACAAGCTACTCACGAGCGGAAAATGTGCTTTAACGGCCCGTCCACACTACAGCTTTGACCGCTTCAAAAACGGTTTCCAACGCGTCTGCCCATTCACTGTGAATGGGGTGACGTCACTTTTCGCCGAACTGCATTGTGGGAAGCAGAGCGGAGCTTTCCTGGCGTTTCAGGCTGCAAAAGTTGAGCAATGTTCAACTTTTGAAGCTTCTGAAGCTTTCGGTGGAAGCGTCAGCCAATCAAATCATATACCAGTACAAGCTCTAGCCAATCAAACCGCTGCTTGTGTGTCAGGGGCAGGAGATTCATGTGATTGGTTGTTGGTCGAGCTTCAGAAACGCCCAGCTCCAAGCTTTTTTTTAAGCTGTAGTGTGGACGGGCCGTTACACGCGCATGAAATGACCCTCGCGAGCGGCTATGCGCTCGCTCGCGAGAGAGACAGCCTCTTGCTCGCTCGCGGGAGTATCAGCCTCACTCGCTCGCAGAGTCTGTCTGCACCAGCGTGAATAGTTTGGGGCGGAGCCACTGGACTTTGATTGACAGCTGCCAGGAAACCTGGAGTTGCCAGGTTTGATAAATGCCTGAACTACCAAGAGCCGAGGAGTGACAGCAGCAAGATCAGTTGGACGAGATGAAATGGTAAAGATGTCCATAAAAAAACCATTGTATTCGTAAATTGTACAGCTAATATATATATATATATATATGTATATATATATATTAATTAATTTTATATAAAACAATATATTTTTGAGTGGGCTGTATCTCGAAAACTGCTAGCTACTGTCTGCTGTACGCACCTCCCTTACGAAATGAACTATAAATGAACTATATATAGTATTACTATAGTATACTATAAGAGTTGTATAGTGTCCTATAGTAAGTTTGTAGTATTTTTCACCAGCTATCGTATTACTATAGTTTTTTCTGTAGTGCCATTTTATTAGCTATAGTAGCCCTATAATATTTCAATAGTAATACTATGTATCTCTAGACCTTTGTAGTATTCCTATATTATTTTAAATAGTATAACTATAGTATAATATATAGTGTTACATAGTTGTTTTTTTAAACACACTATAGAACACTCCTAGTAATAGCATGATATTGTCATATGAATGCATATTATTACTATAGTGTTTGTAAAAGTATTACTATAGTGGTTTTTTTTGGTGTTTCCATATTAAGACTATATTGTTTTAAATAGTACTACTATAGTATAATATATAGTGTTTCTGTAGTTGTTTTTTTAACACACTATAGAACACTCCTATAGTAATAGTATGATATTGTCATAATGAATGCATATTATTACTATAGTGTTTGTAAAAGTATTACACTCCTAGAATTAATGTGTAATTTTTTTATATCAAATTAATTGATAATTTGTATTGTCACCCGCGCGCAGACAGACTCCGCGAGCAAGTGAGGCTGACACTCCCGCGATTGAGCAAGAGGGCTGTCTCTCTCGCGAGCGCATAGCCGCTCGCGGGGGTTTAATCTGCGCGCGAGGGTCATTTCTTGCGCATGTAAAAGCAAATTTTCCGCTCGTGAGTAGCTTGTTTTGCGCGCTAGAATATTGACTCAAATCTGACTCCATAGTAAAATGAGGCCGAAGATGACTTGTGCTCTTTCAATAGAGATTTAGAGAGGATGAAGCCTTATGTGGTCTGGCACAAAGGTTAGTCTGTGTCCTTCCTGGAAAATGTCCATGGAAAGCAAGAATTCACAATGTGTTCAGCTCCAGATGAAAATAATCCTTCTCTAATGGTTTCAATCTCAAATACAAAATGTCAGAGGGACAATATTTCAGCTGAACAGCTCCTAAAATTACAGAAAGAAGAAGTAGAGATGTGGAGAAGTTTACCAAAAAGGCTCAAACATTGTCCTTGGCCAGAATATGCTTTGTTATAAGCAGGGGGATATCAAAAGCACAGTGAGAGTGCTCCATTGCGTGCCAGCAGTAAATACTTATTTGGTAAAGGAGTCCATACACATGACTGCCACATGGCTGCTGGTCTTACACATCACCAGTTTTATTATCGAGCACACACACACACACAAAGAGCTGCTGTTCTCTAGTCACCATGGAGGAAAAGGAACTGTCTGACTTTCTCCTATTTGCACTTTAGTACCCATTAAACATTATCTCAATCAGTCAACATGAGATATAATAGGGCTGGCCTACTTAGTTCATTAAGCAAAAGCTCTCAATTTAAAGATAGTTTTGTGTTACAAAGAGTATCAGAAAGATATGAATCTAAGTCCATTCTTCGCGCTTTAACAGAGCAAATATGTAACCACTCACTATCGGACTTGACCTATTGCTACACATCATTTCTCCATTCAACTTTTCATTAGAATTGGATTTTTTTTTTAAATAAGTGATTTGACATTCTAAAGTTTCCAAAACTGTGGTTTCTACTCGTGATTTCTTAAAATTCCCCTTTCACTTCTCTGATTTAAAAGTTCCTCCAAAGTTAAGAAATTATTTACTTTTAATTTCCCATCTTGCCAAGAGTTAGATAATAAAACATAAAGCCGGAACCAGGTGGTTAGCTTAGCTTAGCCTACACACTGAAAACATCAAGAGAGCTAGTACATCTATTTCCAAAAATGTCATATACCTTTGAAAAAGACTTAGATTAAACACTCTACTTACTCCGTAGTACAAGTTCTTGGCCAGGGTGTGGATGAGGACCATCTTGCCCGTGGCAGCAGCCCCATACAGGCAGATGGAGGCGTAGAAGTGGTTGTACCAGAACATGGAGCTGCCCAGCAGAGTGACGAGCAGAGCGAGTATCAGCACCGACAGCAGCGTGACGACCCAACTCAGGACTGCTACACCTGTGGCACAGGCCAGTTCCCGGACATATCGGCCACCTGAGGGAGATGCAAATGAAAGGTAAGTGAAGACCAAGCATCTAACTCTTCTAGAGCAAAGAGAAACAACAATTGTGATTTGACTCCACAAGCCAATTATTTTCCTGATTAATTGATTAAACACTTGGTTGTAAAATGTCCATCCCTGCTTCTCTAAGTAATTATAATATCTGTATATGTTTTATCCAGCCAGGACATAAAGATATTAATTTTCAAATAATACAGAACTTTTTCTGATATTTTTTCATGAGAAGATTTCTTAAAAGTTTAATCGATTATCAAAATGGCCAATATGTATTGACTGTTGACTAATCATTGCAGATCTACCTGCAAGTTTGGACTGGGTCATTCTCATCTTACAGTTTGCAAGAAAACACTTGAATAATCTACAAAGGGGAGAACACATGCATCTACCACAGGAAATGGAGACCTACCCCCATTGCCTGGCATTGAGGCTTTCTTAGCCAGATAGAGGAAGGTGGCTGTGGCTACCATGTAGTTCAGGATGGTGCCTACACGGGCAGGGTAAGCCACCACAAATACCCCCAGCAGGTCGTAAAACACCATGTTGCCATGACGATACTCGGAGGAATCGGCCAGCTTCTCTGAATTCACAAGGTACTTTAGGACCGCCAGGATGTTGTCGCCTGTAAACAGCAAGCGAGTTTCAAGGTGAAGAGGTTCAAAGCTGACACAATGAAGCCATTGAGCTACATTGATTTCTGCAGTATAGAGACAACCAGAGGGCTTGATCCCAACTTTAAAAACGGACACATAATGAATAGAAAGAGACAAAATGGGAAATAAATACTGAGTTTAATCTATTTTGGTTTTCAGTTTCCACCGTTTGTTTCCACCCTAACATTAAGGAAGAAAATGTTTGATATGACTGAACATGAAAGCGATAACTTTCATAATGACACAATGGGCTCATCTTTCAGAGCTGACACAACACAAGCAGTACATTTGATTGCTGACTCAGAATCACCTTGTGACCAGCAGGGACCGGCTACACTGACGTAATGCTCTGTATCATCCCTGCACGGCCACCCAGACAGAATCTCTGCAGCACACATTGTTAGGTCTTCACATTTTTCACTACTTTCTGAAAATGTAATGTATTTTAATGTTGTGCTTTGTTAGCCCAATCCCTAAACTACAAAAAGGAAAAAAAGGCAGGAAATCTCCATATTTCAGAGACTTAAAAGGCAGTTTCTGTTACTTTTGCATGAAGGATAAATTAAAACAATTGATTGAATTTCAAATACCTGCTGATTTTTTTTCTGCCATCTACTTTCCATTGCAGAAATATCCCACACATACTTACACATCCTTAGATACAAATTCATAAATGTATACTACCTTTAATGCTCTCCCACATATAACCTCTTAGCCTTGAATACACTACTCAAGTGTTTTCATGGTGTTTATGAGTGTTTGATGTGTGTACGCAAATAACACAGTAGTGTGTCAAAGTGTATGATGGTGTATGTGTGAGTAAGCTTAAGTCAGATATATGACCTAAATGGCTTCTCCTAGTTACTCAACAGTTGTATACCAGCATGTGGGACATGTAGAGGACTTCTAATGCAATTGGCTAAACAAATACGTATAATGTAGTTAACAATATGGCAACGTAAATGATCAGTAAGAGGTCGCTGTGTGGGTTACTGCCACCTGAGGCCAAGTGTCTTTTATCTGTGCTGCACTATGTACTGCTGCCTGCACACACACACACCCTAACAACGCTCCATTGTTCTTCCGCCTGGTAGGCTCACTGTGGCCTAAAAGAGTAAACAAGTGAGTGTACAACATCTACTTGTTCTTGTTGGGTTTTCTGCTTCGCTACAACGTTCTTCATAGTGACAGACCAACAACTCTTCTTTCCAAATACAACTATGACAACACAAAAACACAAACAAAAACAAAGATAAGATTAATTTAAGAATGATATTTACTAACTTTACTCACACTGCCATTTAATAGTTATATTGCCAAGCTCTTAGGTATATAACTCATTATAATGACTGAATCTAATGTAGGCCATTGACTAAAGACTACAAATTCCCTCTACCTATGTCTACGATCTCACTTCCTCTGTGTAATAATTCAAGCCTTTCATGGAGAGTTACTGTTCGCAGAATAAGAGGAGGGAGATGTCTAGTTCCTGCTGATGGAGAGAGGAAACATGCCAACAGTCTCAGGTTTAAGTGCTGACTGGGACTAGATGTGTCTGCTAAGTAAAGCAAAAAGGTATTCAGCAACACAGATGCACAAATGAGGGCAAGTGCAACAGTAAAGGTGTGTGGCTGCAATGTACAGTGTTTACACGCGTGTGCATTTCTTAGTTCTCAGGGACATAATGAGATCAGCAGAGTGCTGACCCGTCTGAAACAGAGGGACGGAGCACGAGAGGACAGCATGTGTTGGTGACAGAAAAACAGCGTAGGCAGTTGTTTTTACAACTCAGGTTGACTGCTGTAGTGACCGCTCTCTCCTTCACAGAAAGAAGAAAGAAACAACCAGCAGCTCCCAAGTGCTGAATCTTTTTGCAATGCGTGGTAAATAAAAGCACAAGATGAAACCTATGTGAGTTTAGTTCATGTAGGTATACTAGGGGAGGAGTTGAAAATATCATGTCATGCTTATCCTGATCAAATTAACTGCAACACATAGTAGTATACTGATAATCATCAATATATGCTTTAGTAAATGGCACTGAACCATACTGGAATAACTTAATTGTATAAATAAAAGATAAACAAATAGCAACATTCTGTAAATGTGTTCCTTCTTACATGATAATTCCTGTATTTTTCTAATCTGACTATTTTGAACTTTTCTATCAATACAATGAGCTAGACAGCTTTTTAAAGGATATTCACAATCATCCAATGACTGGAAATTCATCAAATTCAGTCCTATATACTAGTATATAATCCCCGCAGACTGCATGTGTGTGTGCTGCATACCGGCTCTCTGAATGGAGTCGGTCAGGATCCTGTCAGCGGTGTCGTACTTGGTGTGATAGATGAAGCCGTTTTCAATGAAAGCCAGATCAATGCCTATAAAGATAATAAATAAAAAGGAGGGAGAAAAATAAATAGAATAAAAGCGCATTTAATGAATCGGCCACTGGACAATTTTGACACATAAATGCTCCATACTTCAAACATAGATTTCTATTTTTGTACTTTAAAGACTGTTCTGCATTACCTGGGATGTTTCCAAAGTCCCTGTAGATGCGGAAGTCAGTGTCAGAGGGGATGATGCCGCTCTGAAAGACCTCCTGGCCCACCACAGAGGCAAAGGGGTGTTTGGCTGCTTGAACGTAGGCCTGGACCAGCCAAGGGTTCTCTGGACCTTTAGGGAACAGGAAAATAAATTATAGATATTTTATATATCGGACAACTATCTCATCAAAGAATAATTATCCTGTATGAAAAGGTCTATAACCCTATTTCTTTCTGTCTTTGATTGTAGCCGTTTTGGTGTTTTAGGCATAAGCTTGTTTGTGTCACTTTCAGACAGTTCACTTGTTTAACAGAAAAAAGGCATTGCAATTATTTGAATGCTTTTCCAGTTATATGAGAAAGATATGCGTACAAACAAATATATGCAAAACTAAAATGCAGAGGATATCAGAGGGAAAACATGCTCATAAAAAAACAGAACTTTTGTTTGATACAGTACCTGTCTGGAAAACAACTTCTTTGCCCCCAACACCTGCAGCCTCCAAGTTAATAAAGGCTCGCACCTGCTTTGCCCATGGATGCTGAGTAATGAAACCATGACTGGCCTGATGGAGAAGAGGATTAAAAAAAGGGGACAAATAGTTTGAGAGGGAGGAAGTTAGAATGAAAGGGAGGGAAACACAACATAAAACTAGAAAATGCATTTCCTGCAGAAAATGCATGCGAATGTTGTAAAACATTTGTGGCTGAATTTAGCTGAAAATGCAGAAAAAGCTGAATATTGTATTAGTTGAATGGTCTCTGTAGCTGCTTTTATCTACAAAAACCAAGTAAGTGTGTTGCTGAACTTAGCAGAGAAATGCAGAAAAGTGAAATTATTTGAATCAAAATTGTTCCAGCTCAAATGCATTGCAATGACTTCTGTTTGTCATTGTTTGTTTCGGTGCTGAGCACCTAATCATAACACCTGTGTGTGAGCCCAGAGATCAAAGGTGTCCATGGTGACGGCGTTATCAAACACCTGTGTGCAGAGATCACAGGTTTCCATGGTGATGTGCAGTGATCTGTGAGAGGAGAGCCTTTCCACTGATCTGAATGAGAAATAAACCTCTTACATTTGAACGTTTTGTTGAAGAACCGTAGCAGCTTTCGGTATAATATCAACGCGTGAAGCATGTCAGAACCGTGAGGAGCATCGGAGTCTGCTTTTTGTGCACTTTCGGGTCAATAATGTGGCATTTTTGGCCGATTTACAAAAAGGTGTGCAGCTGCTGATGTGAGGAAAGATCAGGCTGAATTTACAATGGACCTTAATGGAGACATGTTGAAAGCTTTTGTCACTTCATGCCCTCAAGAGGCATTTTGTTTAATTGTTTTTTGTTCAACGTAGGAGAGGTTTTCCTACGTTTTTCAAGGGAAATTATGTCCAAGGAGTGTAGGGTTTGGGAGTTATGGCAGATTAAAAAAATTAAATTGGGCGAATTTCCAGCACTCCTGCACTCTGTTTTGAGATCGAAGCACTCTAGACTTAACGAGCTGCGCAATACACACTAATGTTAAAATCTAAAGAAGGCCTCTTTACCAAGCTCCAAACTAAGTTAAATATCTCAAAAAGTGTAAAAGATATCAAAAATCTGAATACGATTTTAATAGCTGAAGGTCGTGTGATCATTCTAAAGTTGGAATTAAGTGTCTAGCTGAAAGTATGTGGAAGGAGTAGCATTTGGCGCAAGGTGTAGGTAAAAGAGGATTTGAAGGTTCCTCCCATTGAGTTCCATGTTAAAAAAAGAGTTTAAAAAGCTTTTCCCATCATGTGCTGCAAAGGCTGAATAGTTTGATATTTGAATGGTTTCTGTAGCTGAAAGTATGCAGAAGTTACCCGACGGCAAAATATCGGTTGAAATAAGAAGAAGAAGATTAAAGAGAAACAGAAGAACTATAGTGGAATGCTACTAAATATGACACTTGTCACTTAAATGTACCTGCAGGATATTTTCCTCCGCCCCATTAAAGAGGAAGACAACTCCATGAAGAAGAGGAGTAGACTGATTGGCAAGAGAATGGAGGACCTCCAGCATCACTGCACAGCTCACTGCATCATCACTGGCACCTAAGACATGAAACCAGTGAGTGTTTCTCAAAAATACAAAAAATAAACCCAGCTTTTTCTTGTCTTTCACATTTGCATCAGGCAACAGAAGCTTGGCACCCGTTTAAAAAGATCACCCAACTTTCCAAAACTCCGTGGCTCAGTCTGAGATTAAAACACATGGAGGAGATAGAGCTGAGGTGTATTAAAATATCACAAACACATGAGAATGAAGGCTGAGTGCAAACATGTGAAGAATGTGACTCGCTGGTATTACCCCGGTGGATAATGGTGAGAGCACAACGGAGAAGGGGGTAACAGTGAGAAGAAAAGAAAAGAGCATGTGAACAGGGCATGTGATGCGATAAGATTACACAGGTTGGTGGTGACGAGGAACACAATTGACTGAGGATAAAAGGGAGCAAGAATGCCCAAAGATCAGAGAGCCACACTCAGACATCATGTGCTCCAGCTTTCTGGATTGACTGTGTTCACGAGGTTCAGACCAGAGCCTGTTCACTGTCTGTCTGCGTACCATTCATGCTCCTGTCGCTGCCACTTATGTCAGCATCATATTGTCCCCCAAAACAATCTCTGAGAGTGTAGAAAATGGCGATCACATAGAAAGCCTGAATAGTTCCCCTGTGCCTGTTCATAATGTTAAGTAAAACAAAAGTGTTCCCCCCTTTTTATTTTGAGCAAGAACAATTGTGGAATAGCCTCCCAACTGAGATACGGGATTGTCCCACTCTCAATCGTTTCAAAGGTCAACTCAAAGAATGGTTGAGAAACAAACAGACGTGCAATCACCGCTAAATGCACTTTAATACAGGGGTATCTCCTTTTGCACTTTATGTAGCTTTTGTATCTTCTCTTGCACTTTATATGTCGTTGCTGCTATATTGTATTACCATGGCATAAATACTTGTGTGTGCTGCTCTTGCTCTCTTGCACTTTTTGCATAACATGTATTTTGTTTTTACAATGTTTGTAAAATGTACATTTCTTAAATGTTTTTATGTGAGGGACTGCAGATGGAAATGAGCGGAAAGCTAAATCTGGCACTGTTACGCTTGACACATTTTAATGTTTTAAGTGTTCATTACCGTGCATTGTCCCTGCCAAATAAACGATTAAATACAATTATTTACAGTTCCCAGATATCAAAGGCCTGGCAGGCAGCATTTGGACAATATAATCTACCTTCCTGGTCCACACCTCTTGGATCTACTTCCTTTTGCTCCCGTAGCTGTGTGTGCTCATGTGTTTGTATTTAAGGGGGAACTATGTCTCTCCAACAGGCACAAGGGCGTGGTGTACAACTCTGAAAGAATTAAGACTAATAAATCATGCCAGCACACCACAATCTATCATCAACAAACAGGGTTATTACTGTGCAGCGTAGATATGATGCAGGCCATTTGCATGCCCTGATATCCAAATGATGTGGATTGGTTGAACTTCACACTGTGTGGTCCACATGACTACTTTGCAAACCATAGGGCACAAATGAGGGCATTTTTATCATAAAACACATTGAGACCTGGAGACTTATGGCTTTTGCACGCTGTAAGAACAAATCTGCACGTCCTCAGCCATGCTAGCAGCTCTGTAAGGCTGTATAGCTATATTATCATACTAGCATGCTAACCATAACATTGCTAGCATGTTGATATTAGGAAATAAATTATGTTTAACATATCTTCTGTTTTTTTTTTAAACTTAAGTTCTGCTAATAATCTAAACATAAAGTAGAGTGAAGTTTCAGGGGTTGCTTTTCACAGTTTATCCTCTGGGCACCATGAATGCCTGACCCAAATGTCTTGACAAAACACCACGTAGTTATCAAAAATATTTCACTGTGAGAAAAGAAAAAGCACAGGGGATTCCCAAAATCAGTGTGCTTCAACATCCCCTAGCTTTAAATACATATTTAAATACATATTTTAATAAATACAAAGGAATAGACTATAAAAGGCTCTTCAGAACAGTATCAGGACATGACAAAGCAATATAACCTAAAAGCAGACACCACAGGTTCAAATTGTGGATATGCAAGATGGCCCTTAAGGAACAGAAAGTTGTAGAAGTTGAAATCAATTAAAAAAAGATAGTTATGATCAAATATAAAGGTGTTGTTGTTCAAATGTATATTCACTTGTATTTACTGAGAGATTGATATTAAGTCCTTTCCTTTCTGGGAATTCAGGTTTGAAAACAGGTAGCAAACTGAGTGCTAACACTATTCACCTGAGGCTAAAACACTTGAATTGAGCTCAGTTCTCAGTAGGCAGGATCCTAAAGTATAGGAGGAACGTTTTCGTACCTGGACTGTTGGCCACTGTGTCAAAGTGGCAGTTGGCGAGCATGAAATGCTGCGACCCGGATTTAGGCTCCAGCCGGACAGCAATGTTGGTGACACGGTCATAGAAGCTGGTGAAGCCTCCCAGAAAGTCAATGGAGAAAGTGCCGGTGGGACGCTGCACATCTACCGTGACTTTATGGGGGCCCGCTGCGGTCTCAACCCGGATGTTCTCGATCTGCTCCAACAGGTAGCCCACTGTCAGGACTTCGTTCTCATGGCTGCCCACTGGCCGAGGGCCCACGCTGGTGATCTTCTCCAAGTGCTGTCTATATTTGGAGGAGAGAGAAAGAGGATATTGTGATGCTTTTTAAGGAGGAGGACCAAGCCTATTTGTTCCATCACCACATTACAGCATTTCTAATTCATATCCTGCATTTCAATGTTACTGTTAAAGTGAATCATCGCATCTTTGTACAGGAGCAGAGTCCATAGCTCTCTTTTCAAAACCACCTTGAGGTTACAAATCTTAAACTAAATGTGTTTCCTGAAGATATTGATGTGCTTGCTGACTTGCATGCACACACAGTTTGTGGCATTTACAGTACAGTGTGTTCCAGAGGATACACCTTTTCTAAATATTACAGGAGAGTGCTACTGCTTTCTTGAAAATTAAATGATGAAGTGAAACCAGATATCTTTACCAACTCTGGTGTGGTCTTGAATAGGAGCTTAGGGGGACGATTATGCACCTTTCATTTTCATTTATGTCAGACAATTAACGGGCAATGATGCTTATAAGTATGTGTGTTAGCCAGAAAAGAGTAATATCAACTTGTTCCATGAACACAGTGTTTTCAAGGAATATACAAGTTAAAACATTAGATGACATCCCTTATTCACATAGCGACCTGGAAGATCCAACAGAAGACACCATAACAAAATAATGTGTTGACATCAAACAGGGTGTAACCTGCCTCTGTTATGCTAGCAGAGTCCCGAGTTTGGACCCTGCAGGCACAGTATTCCATGTTTCTGTAACACTGTGACCCGATCTACCTTATCCCCACACAGACTATTAGATGGACGCAGGATATGAAGCTACGGAACCCATAAGGCAATCAAAACAGATGTTTTCTTTAAGAAGCAGCTGCTGCTGGGGTTTGCTGCAGCTCTTCTACAAATGCCATGCCATATATTTGATCCCAAGCATAGATCAAACACAGCATGTTGGCTTTTGGTTTGTTGTTTCTTCCAAAGTCCACCCATAAATGTATTCCTCTTGTAGTGACAAAATGGTACTAAATGATAATGATGATATCTGAAGTGCTGTTTCATTTCATTCTTACAGCAGCGTTTAAGGCATTGTTTTATGCTTAGGATCATAATTTAAATCTGGATTGGAACAGGATGGACTCATGACAGCCATGATTGTGACCAAAGAAGCTCAGAGCGCTAATCAGTTCAATGCAGCATGCTCCACTCATTTATAGAGCAACCAGCCAAATGATGGCAAATCCCGTCGCCCAAGCACTTTCAAGAGCTCAACTGCAGCCCTGCGGACCTCAGATTCAGCATAATCCCCGCCTCTCTTCTCACAGGGACGGAAAATCTGATCAAAACTGCTGCACTGTAAATCTGAAGAGCTCTTTAATCTGAAAATGTTGCAGCTACTTGGAATTAACCAGAGTCATAAAGCTTTCTGTAGTTGCGCAGTAAGATTTCTATATTAAATTAATCTTTATAATATTTCTTTGTTCAGATTTCTGTGCCATAAAATGTCAGAAATTCATGATAAAATAACATCCAAGAGAAATTGCTCACAAATATTTGACAAATTATTGATATTAACCTTAACAATTATAACAACATTTTCAAATTCAGTTTTTTTTAATGATGCATTTCCTGTTTGATGTCCATTTTGTACTTTTTGGGGGCATTTTTCATTTGAATGAAAAATGTCACTGATTTGAAATATTTTGGTTTTTGAAGGATTCATCTAATAAAGAAGTATTTAGAGTATTTTTTTAATTGAAAGACATAGGTAATTTTTTGACTGGTTATGGTAAAGAAGGTGTTTTAAGTCAAATGCGTTACCTTACCTGCAAAATCTACTATCTGGGCTTGATATTCCATGTTTGGAATTTGAGTCAGTGTGTAAAATAACTAAGTATATTTACTGAAGTACTGTACTTAAGTAACATTTAGAGAGAGACTACATGTTGTCAGGGCTCGAGCTTAAGGACGTCCCGTCGTCCCGGGGCCGAAAAAAATAGTGTCGGGCAGGATAAAAAATAATTTTGGGACGAATTTGGGACGAGAGTTAAAATAAAAATACCCTGCTAACTCTACTACAAACGGCGATGAAAATGAAACCGACTGCACGTTTTGTGTAGCACACAGTTATTAAACCTCCTTGTCAACATAAACACACAGGCACAAAACATTTAGAAACCCGCGAAATACACACACATGTAGCTACAGCTGGGCCGCTGGCTGTCAGCCAGCCGCCCAGCTGGCTGTCCCTGCAAATTCGCGGGTCTAGCTATGTAGCCTACTGAGTGTGTGTATTTCGCGGGTTGAGTGATGTTCAATGGCATCCCGTGGAGGAATTCTGAAATGTTTTACCGTTACATCACAAAAACGCACAGCAGAACCAGACCCTGGAGCGCCGGCCTCTTTATTTACTTACTCCTCTTCATCCCCTATGGGTAATAAGGCTGAGATGAGAACTCTGCATCGTATTTAGCCCTTAGCAATATGCTGCGCCTCTCCCCATGTAGGGATGGGTACCGAGCCCCGGTATTAAACGGGCCGGAATTATTAAAGACAGTGGTAACGTTAAACTCCGACGTTATCAGACTTTGTGTCGGTACTGGAGACATTTAAAAAATATGTCATATGTATTATTGCTACATACACATTATATCGTAGTTTTAGTTTCACCAACTCCGTTTCTAATATGCAATAAGACTACAACATGCGTCTATGATGTATTTTCGAGCTTTCCAATCCAGACGAGATCTCTCTCTCCCGTCTGTGTGCGAGGGGGCGGGCCGTTTGTAAAGGTCTCCTGACTGTGTTACAGACTGTCATCCTGGTTAGCGGTTACTCTGGGTTCTGTCTTCAGGACAGTGTTGGATTTTTTTGTTAATTGGATGGGACTTGATTGGATTCAATATTAGAGTAATTTTCTCGTTTGTGTGTTTGTTTAAAAATATTTGGCCTTTGTTTATGTGATTGAATGATTTACTCAAATAAAAAGGTTGATGAATTATCATCTAATGATTTGTATGATGTTTTATTTATGTTAAAGGTCACTTTGAATGATTTTAACTAATGATAATGTAGAAAAACTAACATTTTAAATTCGGGACGGTCCACATTAATTTCGGGATGGCTTAGATTGTATTTCGGGACGGTTCCGGGAGGATGGGGAAAAAAGTTAGTCGAGAGCCCTGATGTTGTGCTACTTTGTACTTCTACCCCAATTGTATTCAGAGGTAAATAGTGTCCTTTTACTGCACTACATTTATGTAATATCTTTAGTTAGCCTACTTTGCAGAAGACTTTAGCTACACCTCGAGTTACATTCTACAATGCAGCATACAAAGTAATTACAACTAGCTACACCTTTAACAGCTTTGATAAACACATAAATGCATCAGTAATTCTAATAAAATAATAAAATAAATATTATTCTGAAATGGGCCAATGTGCATAATGAGTACTTTTGGTATTTGAAGTTTATTTGTATGCCAATACACTTGTACTTTTACTTGAGTAACATTTTGAATGCAGCACTAGTTGTAACAGTTAACCTCAAAATGTTACTCTGGTACTTTTCCTTCAGTACAAGTTCTGAGTGCTTCTTCCACCTCTGCGTTGAGGTAATGGAATCATATTATTATTATTATTATATTTGGACTCTTATTGTTTAGGCTACTTTCCTAGAGGCTGTTGCAGCTCTTATCTCCCGGGCCAACAGTAGCCGTTAGAAACCGTTGAAACACCTGTCTGCCCTGCAGGTTACCTTGGAGGTAAAAGGTGGAGGTGGAGGGGACACCCGGTAGTGGTTTCTAGGCGGGTCTAGTAGAAAGATTAGCTGGGGGACTCTGCTGCTTAGAGACCGTTAGCCAACATGTGAAGACAAAGGGGTATTTACACTAAGCAAGGTACACAACTCACCTTGCTCTCACTGCGTTGAAGTCTCCGCTCGGCTTGCCAATGACGAGCTGCTGTAACGACAAATGAACGAGTCCCCACAGCACCAAAATAAACACAGAGACCAGGGAAGCTGCCAGTCCTTCCCGCAGCAAATATAGGCTCACTTCGGGCTTCCTCTTCGGGTCACCGTTGTAGCCGTTATCCACGCCCCGGTCTCGAGAGCCGTCGGTATCTTGCGCTACATAATTATGTGTCCCGAAGGGTTTTATTCTCCTGAAAGTGGTGTCGCTCTCCATTTTTGAGCCAGCGGTACATCAGCTGCAAGCGTCGCTCTCAGGCGTCGCTTTTTTTCTTTCTGGACGAACGACGGAACGCGCTGAGGGATAAACCTCCTGAGAGGGCGGGCGGGCGAAGGCGGTTAGAAAATGAAAAGACAGAGGAGGAGAACATATTTAACATACTAAAATTGTTATCTCTCCCACTTGAGTATAAAACGGGATAACTGGTTTTATACTTTAAAACATTATTCAAAAACCTATATTATTAGCTATCAATTATTGTGTAGACATTTAAAAAAAATGCATTCATCGTAAATCATATTCTCCTTAGTTAGAGTTAGTTAAAGATATCAATATAATATCACTCTCTCAGCGTACAATAGTTATGATCTTATAATAATCTTCCCAAAAAGAAAATGTGTATTCCCAAAATGTCAAACTGCTCCTTTAACATGAACTCAATGAACCCTGAACCCCCCTTGTAAAAGTTCCCTAATGCAATCCAACCAGAAAGGCCTGACACACACTATCAGATACACACACACACATACACACACACACACACACACACACACACACACACACACACACACACACACACACACACACACACACACACACCAGGTTTATTGTCAAGAGTTTTTCATTACAAGGAATTCGCCTCGGAGTTTGGTGCATACAATATTACAATTAAATATAGTAAAATAGTTTTTACAATGAGAACTGTGCAGTTGTGTGCAACCATATACAAAATGATGCCAATGGAATGTGCAAAGGTTCACAGTAAGCTATACCTAATAATATTACCAACACAATATCCAACTCTTTTTTTTTAAAGACGAAAATCCAGGCTATGGGGACATTACAAACACATTTTACAATTAGACTTTATAACAAATATTTGCCTAACTTTTATAAGCCAATTTATTTAACTCTTAGAAAAAATAGAACATAACATTATTTATTTATGCATTTGGCATAGTAATATTGCTGCTGGCTGAACTGAGATTATGATGTGATTTGATTGATGTGACACTGGGAGTATGCAGATTTGGTGTTACTTTGTCGCCATCATGTGGACGAGATGAGAAAAGCAGACGAGGTATTCTTGCCGTAGAATTCAACACTGCAGTTCATCCTTAGTCATTGCACAGTGCACACTGACTTCTTTCCTGTAATGCTACCACTTTGTTGTGTGTGTTTATACTTCCAAGCAAAAAATATGTATCTAATCAATTAATAGAATCTAATGATATATTTCATTATCTTCAGTTATTTATAGGAACTTTACAATCAGAAGTTTTCCATGTGAAACCTTCTAAATTAATATGCAAAGTAATAAGTAGCCTGTATCTATATGCAACAAATGTGCTGTAGTAATGAGTACAACATGTGTAGCCCAGAGCCATATATGGCTCTGGTGTAGCCTATAGCCTAAAATGGAAACAATCACAATAGTAAATACAAATACTTCACAAAATCGATTTAATATATTACTGTTAACACTCAGATACACAGGCCACATTAATTAAGACATTGTTAAAGGGATGAATGTCAGAATAAAGTAAAGGTCAATAAACATTAAAATCATAGGCCTTTAGTGTCTTTGTTTTTCTATGTCCTCGGTACTTTTCCATTAGACGCCCTCATGTAAATACTATAGCCGCTAGCCTGTCGGCAGCTAACACAGGTAGCAGAAATGCTATTTGTTTTCAATATTCAGGAAGGACGCGTAGTTAGTTTTGATATTAAAATGAACTGTACTTTATACAAAATATATTGTTTAGTGGTGGTACTCTAGATATTATCCGGCGTTTTATATGTTATTTTATCAACGTGAAGTAACAGTCATTTTAACTAGGATGTTCAACGCTTAGCATTTATGCTTAGCATTAGCTTGTTAGCAGGAGTGTGAAGCTAGCTCAGTTGAGGCTTAGCTGTCAACATGGCTTCCTCTTTCAAAACAAGGTTCTGGAATAAGATATTAAAGATAATGTCTTTCATTCCAACCATACAGTCTAAGATTCCAACCCTAGCCTATGTCTTGCCTGGGGACACTAGTGTAAAATAGTTTGTGCTTAACAGAACAGAATACTGTCTGCTCACCTAAAATGCATCAAATAAATGCAGGGAGCTATAACACCCCCTTGTTATATGTTAACAACGATTATCTTTAATGTATATTGTGCAAATATATTCAAAATGTTGTGAATAATGTTCTAAATTCATAATTTATATCGTTCTGTTGGAAAATAAAATTATCTAAACAATTAAACAGAAATGATCCTAATGTGAAATATGAAAATGCTAAAATAAATGACTATCTTTTCATGAAAAATGTATTGTGGACAGGGATCTCAAATGTTAACTAATACAAATGGTAAATTATTTATAAAACACAGTATATTGAAAGCAGCCATTATATTTGTCAAACAAACAGATTTCTTGTTTTATTATGGTTCAATTACATTGAGTATTTGCTGGTCTTAATGTAGCGAGAGGCACAGATGATGCAATTTGTAAGTCAATATTGTTTGTAAATGCAATATAAATGTTACTAAAGATGTGATTGCTTTAACTGTGCATGAGCAAATAAAAACATTTTCGATGACTTGTATTTTGAAGGGGAATAAAACAACCTGACGGAAACGTATGACTTTTATTTCGGGTGACTTGACTGCTGTTATCTCTACCAGCTTTCGACTCTGACCGATCATTAGCTAGCCAAACATTGCAGAGAGCAGTCAGCCCGTCGTGTCTCTACCCGAGGCCGGATGGTAAAATCCAACCTCCAGCGGATCCTAAACAGTCATTGCTTTGCTCGCGAGAAAGAAGGAAAACAACAGTCTTTAACTACCATGGCGGATTTAAGTAACGGTATCTGTGACATGATTGGGAAGTAAGTAAACGATTAAAAACACCAAACCTAGCTAACGGCTAACCGTGATGTGTGGGGGAGGGGTGGCTAAGCTAAGCTAGGAGCCACGGAAAAGCGGAAGTAAAACGCGTTTAACTTTAAATGTAAGGTTTACACTGTGTATCACCAATGTCACATCGTTACATCAGGTGATAGCTGCCGTTATAATGTTGTTTTAAAAATTGTCATGGTGAAATAAGCGACGGATATTAATTTGCTATATTAACAACCTTAGCTAACGTTAGCCAATGAACCTCGTTGAAATGGTAACGTTACATCACTGGAGTTAGGTTCGTCACCTAGCTCAATTATGATGCATCAACACTTCAACAGTTTCCGATTATTATTTTGATACGGAGAAAGTAAACAAGTTTAATTTGCCGTTTATACAAGGAACTTATACAAGGGAATTATACATACGTGTTTCAATTTCACGTTAGCCAATTTAAAGACCAAACATACTTCCATGTATATTAAATACACTGAGAGTTTACGGTCAACAAGTGGGGACGAGGGTGACTTAAACGAGTGATATTATTTATTTGTTGCCGAAAAAAGTGCCTGTTAAAACCATAGACTGTATTTAAGAAATTCCATCTTCGGTTAAAACGGTGTAGGGTTTCACCACATATGTATACACCTTAACTAACCCTATTATCATTGGTGATCAATAACAGGAAGACAGAAGAGAGAGAGTAAAATAACACCAGGTTAAAAATGTGCCCGTAAAGTCGTCAGGTCAGTACATATTTCTGGCCACGTTTATCTCGTGAGCTGACAAGAGCCAGGTTGCTTATTACGCAACTGACAGTTTACTGCTGCAGCTTCGTGACGGCACGACAGAGACTTAAACACGACAACATGGTGAATAATTAACATACACCAAGAGGTAATAGTTGTTCAATTAAATGTTTTACTCTTCGCTCCCATTCCTAATCGGCCTTTGCACAACAAACAGAGTATATCATCAGCCATCCACTGTGGGTGGACTTGTTGAATTATTTACAGAAGGCCTTAGAAAGAAATTATTCGACTGGTTAACGATTTAGGTCTATGGTGTATTGACCAAGAGTTATCTAAAATATTGATTTGCAACTCCGCTAATACAATAAGCCACACTTTCAGACTAAAGGCAAGAGAGATGACTTGACTCCTAAGGGACAGCTGTTAAAATACATTTGAGAAATTATTAATCAGTATATTGATTTCTCAATCGACAGATAATGTATTTGCAACACAAATCATAATACAATATATACTTATATTTCACATTTATCCTAATAAATAAAATTGTCCACGGTGGTTCAAATGTATTGATTGGGTGTATTTGTTTGTCATATATGATGGTAAACCGATGGCCAATTTCACTATTTTTAGACATTAGAAAAATGTATTTTCAATATAAATAACTAACAAATAATCAATCAATAATGGTCAGTTGCAACCCTAATGTAAACCAGCTAATGAGATAAGCTTATATTTGTATGATAATTTGCATGGCTTTGTCAGTAGCTCTTTTACGCTGTGTACAAGGTCACAAGATAAGGTTGTGCTGTTGGCAGCAAATCGTTTCACTTGGTTGCCTCCCACGCATCCTGCTGTGTTAGTGCACCCTTTAAAATCGTTCTGTTAACAACTCAGTAAACACAGTGCCATTGTTTTTGGTGAACATAAACTGTAAGCCTTTTGAAAGAACACTTAGGCCTGCTTATATTACACATGTTGTGGATTGAGCACTTATGTATGAATGTGGACCATATTTGTGAAATGATATTGCTAATTCTTCCTGGAATACAAGGACAATTTTGGTCAAGGTCTGAATTTGTTTGTGTTGAGTCACTGCCATGACATGTCTTTGAGGTTGTAGTTTATAAATCCAAATTATGTGCACATACTAACACATGTTGAATTACAGATTTTTTTTTTATTACAAGTCCTTAACCGTGTTTGATTATCTCCTCCTCTGCAGTTTGTCCCTGCACTGTAGTAGTAGTACCCGCGGCCTGGGGCCTCAGTGGTGCTCCTGATGCCCCTCTCCCACCCCTGAAGATCCCAGGTGGGCGAGGGAATGGCACACGGGATCACACTCGGCCACTCCACTCTGTAAGTTTACACAGCATACAAACACACGCATGCAGACGCTCAGCAGTCACATATCGCTGAATTTTCTTTCCCGTA